CTCCCTCTCTCTCTCTCTCTCTCTCTCTCTTTCTCTCTTTCTCTCTCAAGCAATTAACTAATTATTAATTAATTTACATTCTGACTGCAGTTTTCTCTCCCTCCTCTCCTCCTGGTCCTTCATTCCCACTTTCCCACCATCCCCCTATCCTCCCCTTCTCCTCAGAAAATGGAAGGTCTCCCATGGATACCAACTGTCCTTGGCATATCAAGTAGTAGTCAGACTAGGTGCATCCTCTCCTATTGAGGCTAGATGAGCAGCCCAGTAGGAGGACAGGGTCCCAAAGGCAGGCAACAGAGTCAGAGACAGCCTCTTCCCTCGCTGTTAGGATTCCCACATGAAGACCAAGATGTACAACCATTTACATATGTGCAGATGGCCTAGGTTGGTCCCACGAAGGCTCCCTGGTTCAGTCTCTGTGAACCCTTGTGGGCTCCATCCTGGTTCTTCTTGTTCCTAGCTGAGATGCAGGACAAGTTACCTGTTCACTATGCTCAGTGTGCTCTCTGTAGATAATAAAGGTATGTGCCCTGTATGGTGGACATGGGGTTAAACAAGCCGGATTTGGTCAGGACTTGGAACTCTGCCCGGCTGCTAACAAGCACTTCACAGTGGTTCCATGACTCAGGTCAGGGTCCTTCTGACTCAGTCAATACCTTCCTTGATTTTATTTTTATCAGTATCATCACCACCATCATTATTATAGCCATGTTGAGGTATTTTTTGACAAATAAAAAATGCAGGACTGCTGAGATGGTTCAGTGAGTAACGGCACAAGCCTGCTAACCTGGGTTGGGTCCCTAGGGACATGGTGGAAAGGGAGTTGTCCTCTGACTTCCTCATGAGTGTCGTGATTTGCACACTCACATACACACACACAAACATGTATAAGAAAGCTGCATGTCTTTAAGGTATACAATGTGATGACTTTATATGTATGTACATTATGAAGTAAGTACCATAAACAAGCTAACTAATAAACCCATACATTCCACATATTAGCAGACATGTATACGTTCCATCATTTTATGTGTATGTATAAATATATATATACACACACACACACACACACACATATATATATATGTATATGTATATATATATGCCATCACTCCTACACATATACATTCAATCACAACTTTTATTATGTAAACAGGTATGCTTATATAATTTTATTGCTGTATATGTGTAAAATTTATAAAAGGTGATTTTGGAAAATATCTGCTTCTAAATGATTAAGATTTGTTTCTCCAAGAACTATGTGAGAACAGAATAGCCTGATTCATTTGGACCATCAATTACTTCATTTCCTTCTTCCATTCAGCCTACCAATCCCCTGCCATCATCCATTCATGAGACACACATGTGTACTGAACATTTAAGGGTTCCTGTCACCCACAGTGCCCAGCACAGATCAGACCTCTAAGTTAGACAGTGACAAATAGACCAGGGGGATAAAGGAAGGAAAGGAGGAACCCAATTCTCAGAGTTTTGACACTTCCACCTCCCAAAGTGGCTTCCCCTGTGCCATCCCGGAGTGTATCAACTCTGCTACTGAGGAAGCTACATGTGGGTGCTGGCATCCCGGAGAGGCGGGGCCGGGGAACCCGCCCCCTCTCTCTTGCCCCTGGCACGGGCCGATGACTCGGTGGCTGGCACCCAGCTGCAGTCGCACCTCAGAAGGGCATGAGCCCCTGCCCCAGAGTTAATTCCTCAGTGCCCAGTATTGCCCAAGGCACAGGGTGACTCCTCCCCGAGGACCCTCCCCTTCGGGGCGCGCGTCAGTCTCCCCACCCCTGGCACGGGACCCCAGCTGCTTCCCGTGCCTGAGCCACGCTGGGACAAGTCGCGGCAACCTTCCCGGGAGCCGCGGACCTCGGGCGCCATCAGCCCAGGTCCCCATGGAGCTGCGGGTCGCCAACGCCAACGGCAGCTGCGAGAACGGTGCGTGCGGCTGTGCGGGGGACCTGGGCGGGAGCTGCGCTTCTCACCTTGTCCCCACTATCCTCGCCACCTCTTCCTCATCTGCTGGGTCCGCAAAGCTGGGAAAGGGGAGGTCAGCATCATATTCCCACTGGCTTCCCAAACTGTCCTGAAGTTCCGGGTCTGGTAGAGATGTCACCTCCCCAGTGGCAGCTGCAGGAAGCTGAAGCAACTGAAAAGAAAAACAGCATACTGGGGCAGGTGGCCTGTGAAAGGGGTGGGATAGAGAACTCAGGAGTAGAGTTGGCTTGCTACAGGCTAGCTCAGATACCTTTCTATTACCTACACCAGAGAGTAGAGGAACAGAGAGGCTCCCCATCCCAAAGCCACACAGCACATTTTGAAAAGGGAGAGAAAGAACCTCGGACAGTGCTCAGGCAATATCCTTAGTTTTTTCTGGAATATTCTTAACTATGTAGACCTTAGTCCTTCCCTGAACTATCCCATTTAATCCCAGAAACAAACTCTAGTATGAAGGCATATTTATTTATTTATTTATTTAGTATTTAGACAAAAACTTGCTTAATTGTCCAGAATAGCTTAAAATGTGTGATCCTCCTGCTTCAGTCCCTTCAGCCAGGAAATGCAAGTCTGTGTCACTGGGCCTCCATTTTATTTTTAAATTTATTTATTACTAGTGTGCATATGTCTATGTGTATGCCTGTGTGTGTGTGTGATGCATGATGTGTATTTATGGGCACAAGTGACATCTTGAGGCTATGGAGGTCAGAAGTGAGTTCTCTGCTCCTGCTTTTATGTAACTCAGGAGCAAGAGGCTTTTCCCCTCAGTCTTAAGCCTATGTTTTAAAAACGTTTTGTTGTTTTGTTTTTTGGGTTTTTTTTTGTGGGGGGGGGGTCTGTTCTTTTCCTTTGTGTTCTTTTTTTCTGTCTCTTTTCTTTTTTGCAATGTTGAAAACTGAACCCAGGGCCTTGTACATGCTAGGAAGGCATGCTAACACTGGCCTTCATCCCCAGAGCTTATAGCTGTGATTTCACTATGTCCATTCTAGAGATGTAGAAACAGAGGCTCTGGCAGGCCTAGTAATTTGGTGCAGGTACCACAGTGGGGAATGTGAACCAACCTCCTGGATTCAGACTCCTGAGCCTATGTGGCTGCTGTTCTCTGTTTCGCCTGGAACTTTTCTCTGCTTTTATCCTGTCTTGGACACAGCCTGAGTGGTGCTGAGTCCCTAACTTCTGCTTTTCTTCAGCGAATAGCTTGAAGTCAACTCTTAGGTATTGACTGAACCTCAGTCTCCTGAGCAACCAGGCAGGCCATTTTAAGCATCACTCCTTATCCCAAGGCAGCAGAGATCCCCAGTTCTAGAACATTCTAGAGAAAAAGACAAGGATTATCAGCCTGGTACCCATTTTTCTGATGTGCACTCAATATGAATCAAGTTCCCTTGGCTATCAGCTCTCTGGTTATAGCTTCACTGTACTGTGAGAACTTGACTTCCACGGATGTGCTGAGCTTAGGGGGATGGGCTGAGGTGAGCCCTCTGGCTCCTCCCACTAGCAGTGAGACTGGAAGAAGCAGGGGAAAGGTGAGGGAGCTGATTTTACTGCCTGCATTTCCTGGGTGCAGGGAACTCCCCAGATGAGGCTCATAGGCAAGGATTCTCTGAGCTGGTGGAGCAGGAGCGAGCAGTGCAGAACCAGTCAGATCAGCCTGAGATAATGACTTCTTGTCTCATAGCAAAAGACACACACACATCCCCTGCTGGATTTCACTCCCAACTCCAGCAAATCTGTTCTCTTTATGGGACCCCAGTTTCCCCAGCAGAAAATACGAGGATCAGACGGGCTGTTTTGTTTTGATTTTATTTTCAATTGTATTGCTTTTCTTAAAACTTAGCAAACAGAGTGGAGGGTCTCGCTATGACAATTCTGTACACATAAATAATTGTGCCTTGCTCATATTTGCTTCCCTTCTGCTTTCCACTGCCCTTCCTGCCCTTCATTATTTTCTAATGAATGCCTCCTCTTCCTTCTTCTGGTACCTGGGTTGGAACTTACAGCATTGCTCGTCCCAGGCTAGTGCTCTACCATTGAGATACATCTGCTACAGAGCTGCATCCAAGACCAGCTGGGTTTCCTAAAGGGCTCCGCCATGGTCTGAAAGGGACATGTTCTAGGCTTAGGTCTTTGGCACTGAGGTCTAGACCTTTGTAATATACACTAGAGCTGAAACAGGCCAAAAGGCCAGTAGCAAACATGATTTTGGTAACTGAGCAAACTGAGGAATTTCAGGGGCAGGTCTGTCAGAGTGATCCGACTGCTGCTGCCCCAAGACTGGCAGGACCAGAGAGATAAGCTGACCTTCTGAGCTTCCAGTGCAATCTCACAATCCCAACTCTCAATGCTCCTGGAAAGCACCCCATTTTTTGACTGTTTGCAATAGTCAGTTCTTGATGTATAGCCTGAAATGAAGATGGATATATCCTCCGTATTCCCGCCCTGAGGGCAAACTGTTTATCAGAGAGTACGGTGGTTCTAAGCATAGACTCAGCTAGCACATGGGCATGGGTCTACTTTTGGCTTCACCTTTATTATAGGTCAGACAAAATCAGAGTGGTTATGGCCATAGACACACTTTTATTACAATATCCCCTTAGGAAGATGATTGAACTCACTTTCTTCTACTAAGGGCCTGGAAATGGTCACTGTGACTGCTTCACTGAATGTCTGTTAAGAGTCCTCGAGGTAAACTCTAGAACAGGGGCCCTGTGCATGGTAGCTGGTAGAGTCTTGGTTATGCCTTCTCATGTTTCACAGGATGTGTATAACTTTGTGTGCCACTGAGGATCTGTCCTTTGTTCCCAAGACTGCCCTTGGTGTCTGTGCCAGAGAGACAGGTGGGAAGCTGGCTTTGGGACTTGAGGAAAGAATCAGATGAGAAGACAGTTCTGTATGGGACTTTGGGAACACTAATCCAGTTGTGCCCTGAAAGGGTCCACAGCCTGGAATGGAGAGGTCCCAACCATGGGAAACTCACTCCTCAGCAGGTTGACCAGGGTCTTGGGTGGACTCTCTTCGGGGTGACATTCCCACTCCAGCTAGAGCTGGTATGAAGGTGAAAAAGCCCCTGAGAGAGCCTATGAGTTACTGGAGAGCAAAAGCCCAGATGTTGAGAGGGCATCCTTGAGGATGGGACAATGGCTGAGAGTTTAGCTGGGCCCCTACGTGATGTGGGAGGCATCAGTACCACAGGTTGGAATTTTGAAGCCAGACAATGTGTATTAGTCAAGGTTTCCTAGAACAACTGCTCCTATAGAGTGAATGTATATTAAAAGAATTTTTGGAATGAGCTTGTATTGTAGTAGTAACAAGTTATATCGCTCCTCTGGGGTTAAGAACTGGGTAGTTACTTGGTCCTTGAGGCTAGGCACTTCCACACTGACTGTCTTACTCTGGAGAGCCTAAGAACCTGCTAGTTGCTTTGTCCATTGAGACCTCAGCTGTCCCAGTCTGCTGCTCAAATCCAGGAGGGTTCCTGCAGAACAACTGGTCCTCAGTGTATGAGAGAATCTCAGAAATGTTGGTTCTGTCTGTCACCTGGGAAGGAATCTGCTATAGGAGAAACGGGGTAAATTAGCTCGAAGCAAGAGGGAAGGCAGAGTGAGCAAAAGGCCAGTAATCTTCCTTCCGCTGTGCTCTCTTTTTTACCCGGGCTAAGACCTGAAGGTGCTGCCTACTTTTGAGATGGAATTCCCCCATCAGTTAAAACAAACAAACAAACAAACCTCAGGTGAATCTCCCTCCATCCCCTCCAGGGAATTCACTGAACGCTGACATTAAAACCAATCACAATCTTTGTGTCCTTGAGCAAGTAGACACACTCCATTTCTTTGTCTGTGGAATGGGGATTTTAAAAAGTCACCTATTTGACAGGAGGTCCTAATATTTGCTAAGTTCATGCAAATGATGTCCTTGGTGATAAAACAGCTAAAAGCATAGAGAATTGGAAATATATATTATTTTTTTTTCATTCTGGTCTGGTGTTTGGGTGGAGCTTTGGAGCAGTGGAAACTTGAAATCCAAGTCAGAGGTCTATCCCAGCATCTTTAAACCATGCTCTCACCCTCAGAGTGGCTTTTAACATGCTCTTCCCTCCAGGTTCCATAGTCAGCCTCTACTGCTCCTCTCAAGAGGTCCTCTGTCAGATTGTGAGAGGCATCAGCCCTGAAGAACCCAACAATGCCACCTTGATCACCTGGCAAGAGAAGGTCAGGAAGAAGTATGGCTTCTACATCGGTGTGGGCCTCGCCTTCCTCTCCTGCTTCCTCATTGGCACCAGTGTCATCCTTAAGAAGAAAGGCCTCATTCGGCTTGTAGCCACAGGGGCCACAAGAGCAGGTAGGCTCCCCAGGCTGGAGGAGATGAGTGAGGGGCATCCGGGTGGATGACTTTTGTTTACAGAGACCTAAGCTATAATCTGAGGATGGGGCCTTTGATGGGCCCTGGAGGCTCATTGTCAACCCCCACTGAGAATCCTCACTGCCGATAGATAGCTGGAAGCCTTCCTTTACAATCCAGTATTTCCTGAGAATTCCATGATGTATACTTTAGGGTAAAGAGAGAGAAGCTTCAGGATCAGACAGGAGACTCAGACACTCCAGGCTTAACCTTAGCTTAGACTCTTACCAGCCAGCCCTACTGGAAAGTCACACCTTCTCCTGTGAAATGGGAATCACAAACGCCCCAGCCCACACCAGGCCAGACTCTCAGGAGCCCGTGCACATCCAGCCGAACAGCGGCACAAGTGCCAAGTCATGCTCATATGGAAGACTGGGCGTGATTCTCTGAGACAATCCCCAGGAAAGGAAATCACACATAAAGGAATTCATATCATTTGTTGAACTCATATCATTCATTGCTTGCTCACCGTGTACTAGGGTGCAGTGTGAGACCTTGGGACACAGACTCCTGCGGTACATCTGATCAAGTGAGAGAGACAGACAGCCGACAGGAAATCATCCTGTGGTGTGCTGAGTACCTTAATGGGGGCGGGGAGAAATACAGGTTGCTATGGGCGTATTTTAGAATATGTAAAGCTCAGATCTGGGTACAGAAGGAAAGTTTTCTATAAAAGTTGATTCTTATGAGACCTGAATGATGATGAGCCAGCAGGGAAAGGGGATAGGTGAGACCTAGCTGGATGTGAAACGGAAGGCAGCTCAGGATGGCCTGAGAGTGCAGGGGCAGATGAGCCAGCTCAACAGGGTCATGTAGACTTGGCTACAGAGTTTGAGTCTCATTTGAAGTGGGAACGGATCACGTTCATGATTTGCAAAGGATCCCTGGTTGCTGGGGAGAGACTGGATTAGAATCCTGGAGTAGAAGATGTGGGAGGGTATTATTACCATGGACAAGCAGATGGAAGTAGGGCAGTGGGGCTGGAGATGCTGTAGATTCCAGACATAGTTTGGGGAGGTGGAACTCACCTGCTTTGATGTTCTCTGCCTCCCAGGGGAGGGTAGAAGTATGTGACTCAGGTTTCTGACTTGAGAAACTGGGAGATGATGGCATGGTATTCTGCAATGAATATAGAGGGAGAAACAGGTTTGGGGAAGATGACCTGTTCTTGTTTAGACCTGTTCATCGCCTCTTTCCCATGAGACACTGTGCTTTACAGATGCAGACCGTTCCAATTACCTTTCTGCTTTCTTGATTGTTGTTAGTGGGGTCTTAGGCAAGAAATGTGTTTTTATATACTCCAATTTCCTCATCTATAAAACAGACAAAGGATAGCACTAGTTTGGCAGGTGTGGTGGTGCATTATCCTAGTTTGTATTTTATTGTCATGATAAAAACACACTATGAGCAAAAGCAGCTCGTGGGAGGAAACAGTCCATCCATGAAGGGCAATCAGGCAGGAACTGAAGCAGAGGCCATAGGACAGGCTACTTACTGGCTTGCACATCATGGTTAGCTCAGCATGTTTTCTTTTTAGACAACACAGGACTACCTTCCCAGAAATGGTATCAGCTACAGTGGCTGGGCTCCCCCATCAAACATCAATCAAGAAATGCTCCACAGACTTGCATACAGACCAATTTGAGGCAGAGACCAATACTGAAGGTCCCTGTTCCCAGATCACTCTAGCATGTCAAGTTGACAAAACACTAACCAGCATAATACCATCCCAACAGAGATGGAGTGGGAAGGATCATGAGGCCAAAGCCAGCCTCCATTACATAGTGAGTTCATACATATGATTTCTCTAAACTACTGTCAAGGTTCTCTAGAGTCACAGAACTTATGGAATGTTTCTCTATATTAAGGGACTTTATTAGAATGATTTACAGTTTGCAGTCCAACTAACCTAACAATGGGCAGCTGTAAATTGGAAGTCCAAGAATTTAGTAGTTTCTCAGCCCTACAAGGCTAGGTGTCTTGGCTGGCCTTCTGTATAAGCTAGAATCCTGAAGAAGGTTCCAACAGATATGCTGGCAAGTAAATGAGAGTAGGTGAAGAAGAGTGAACCCTTCCTTTTTCCATTATCCTTATGTAGGCCTCCAGCAGAAGGTATGGCCCAGATTAAAGGTGTGTGCCACCATCCCTGGACTTGGAACTTGCTCTGTCCTGGGCTGGCCTTGAAATCAGAGATCTGCTTGCCTCTGTCTTCAGGGATTAAAGGCATGTACTGTCTTGCCTGGGTCTAAAAGTTTCCTGGCCACTACACCTCAAGATCTGGATCAAAAGCGTGTGTCATCCCATGTCAAGATCTGGATCAAAAGCCTCTGTCTTTCAGCCTCAAGATCTGGATCACAGGTGTGCCCTCCATTTCTGGATTGTAGTTCATTCCAGATGTAGTCAAGTTGGAAACCAGGGATAGCCATCACACCTACATAGTTCCCTACCTCCCCTGTTAAGAAATGAGAGGGGGAGAGGGACTCAACAGTTCAGTGGGAGAATGCTTGTTTAGTGTGTGCAAGGTTCTGGGTTGGATCATCACCTTTGAGAAATAAAAAGGAAGGAGATGAATCATGTCTGAATAGTGTCATGTACAAGGTGAACGTGTCTTATGTAAAATGCTCAGAAACAAAAGTGTTGGGGTATCAGATTTGTTATTCATATTTAGGAGTATTTTGCATATGCATGAGGATACCTTAAGGATGGGACTCAAGTCTGAAAGTAAAACTCCTTATGTCCCCTGTATACCTTTTACAAAGAACCAAAGGTGATTTTACATTGATGGTTAATAACCTTATGCATGAAAATGATTTAATGCAATAGGATTTTCTATCTCAGGTGCTATGTTAGCATTCAAACAGATTGGGATTTTTGAGGCATTTTACTTTAGAGAGTTTTAGACCAGGGGTGCTTGGCTGTAACATTTTTAGAAAGAGCTGTGTCCTTAGCTCTAGTACCTAGATCAGCGTTACCTAAGCAGGTGGATCTAGCTAGGCCCATGGTGTATTCCAATTTAGAGAACTGGGCTTGGGATATAGCTCAGTTGGCAGAGTGATAACCTGGCTTGTACAAGGGCCTGGGTACCATCTCAGCATCACATAAAAACAAGACTGGTACATGCCCATAATCTAAGTACTCGAGAAGTAGAAGCAGGAGGATCAGAGATTCAGGGTTATCCTTGGCTACATATGGAGATCTAGGCCAGCCTAGATGCAGGAGACTGTGTTTCAAGGAGGAAAAGAAGAAAATAAGAAAATCAGGAGATTCGAGATACATTTGCAGCAAGGGTCATTACTGCCCTTCATTCACTCTATACAAGTGTTTGGCAGACTAGTGACCTTGAGAAAAATGTCTGCTTATGCTCATTGGAGAACAGAGCAAGTGTGCTTGACCAACCACACAGAAAGATAGCTTCCCTAGGGTCTTCCCTGCTCCAATCTACTGTCTCACTGTCTTCTGAGTGTACAGATCCTAGGATAAAATTAATTTAACATGGCAGGGGGAGTAATCCTTTTATGGAACTGATAAAAGCAAAAGAATTTGTGTTTAGAAAAATCAGTATTTAAGAATAGCAACCTCGCCAGGCGGTGGTGGCACACGCCTTTAATCCCAGCACTTGGGGGGCAGAGGCAGGTGGATTTCTGAGTTCGAGGCCAGCCTGGTCTACATAGTGAGTTCCAGGATAGCCAGGGCTACACAGAGAAACCCTGTCTCGAAAAACCAAAAAAAAAAAAAAAAAAAAAAAAAAAAAAAAAGAATAGCAACCTCTCTCTCAGGTCTTTCCACTGCCATTGTCCTTGTCATGGTTACTCACACAGTTGAGCACTGGCTAAGCTGTGGGCGCTAAACAAAGCACACCCAGTTCTTGATGTTTCTGCTGTGATGCAGGAAAACAGCAGATGATAAGCAGATGAGCTGCTATCTTACATGATAAGAAACGTGAGGGGGAATGGCCACCTCAAGGAGAAACAATAGTAGTTAGAGGCCAGACTGGGCACCTCTGGGAAGCGGCAGAGACCTCCATTGTGAGTGTGAATTCAAACACTGGAGGAGAGCATTCTGCACACAGGGAGACACACAGGTGAAGAGCTTGGGTCAGGAAAGAGCTAATCATTCTTGAATATGAAAGTATAGCAGGAGTGTTTGCGGAGGTGGACAGGACAAAGCCTCTGCTCGTCTCCATAAGGGTCAGGGCTTTATCTTAAGAGTAAGTAGAAGACACTGGGTAGCTATATGGAGAAAAGTGGTACAATTTGTACTTTTCAAAATCACTAGCTACCATGCAAGAAGCTAGTTGCTACCGGAAGAAGTATAGAGTCATAGTATCTCATAACAAAGCCATTGCTTCTCCTGGCCAGATGTGATGGAGTAGGAAGTGGTGGTGGCATGCTTTTTGGTGACAGAATCAGCCACACAGACTAGATGCAGGAGGAGGGGGAAAAAGGGTCTCTGCTTCCTACACATGTCATTTACTAAGTTTCATATAGCAAAGAGCAGAGGTACAACGAGTGTCAAGAATCATGTTTAGGGTAGAGACTTGGGTATCTATAAAAGATGTGACAGATGCTGAATGAGTAGTTAGACACGCAGCTGGATTCAAAAGACAAGTCCAAACAACAGATATAAAATAGGGCCACTGGATATAAACACTAAAAGGCAAGCTCTGGGGAACAGTTGAGGGAGTCAAGGCAGAACCCCACAATCTGTCACCAACTTCTAACTTTGCGTCTCTTCCCTTCTACAGTGAATGGAGGCTACGGCTACCTGAAGGACCCAATGTGGTGGGCTGGATTTGCTACCAGTAAGTGGCTTCTTTCTCTACTAAGAACAGTGATCTACTGATAGCTGGGATGGAGATGAAGGGGAGGGCAGATGAAATGGTCCTGTCTCTGTTATAGACACCGGGAGCCCAAGGCCAACTTCCTTGGAAAAATCTTGCCCCTGCAGACATCTTACTCTGAGTGATCACTTTTCTCAGCCCAAGATAAGGCCCCTTCTTTGGAGATAATGATACAGGTGCAGAGGCTTGGGATGGAGCTCGTGTGGGAGAGCACCTGCCTAGCATGCACAAAGCCAGAGCACCACCTAAAACAGACATGGCAAACGTGTCTGTAGTCCCAGCACTCCAGAGGTGGAGGAAGAAGGAGCAGAAGTTCAAAATCACCCTCAATTACAAAGCAAGTTCAATCAAGGCCAGGCTGGGATATAGGAAACCCTGTTTCTTTTGTTTTCTTCTTCTTTTTTCAATGAGTACAAGTGTGTTCTTTTAGCTGCCACTGAAAGTATTAGGATGCGGCTAGCACTTTCTTTTGGCCATAGTCTTGGGCCTCCATCTGGTAGACTTTGGGAACCTAAGGTAACTTCCCTATTCCATGCAATTAAGAGCTTGACTCACTTTGAACATGGACATTCTGCTACCTCGTCTAGATTTGTACACTCTCACATTGCTCCCAATGTCTACCTACCCTTTCTGGCTATCAAAGCCTAATTATTTTAAAAAAAATAATTTATAATAATAATATTTATTATATAATAATAATATTTATTATTTATTTATATTATTATTGTGATGATGATGATAAAGATGATGGTGGTGGTGGTGTGTGTGTGTGATGCACGCATATAGTGGGAGAGGATGTTCTTGCCCATGCACATACATACAAAGACCAGAGGAAGATGGAAGATGTCTTCCCCTAATGCTTTCCGATTTAGTTTTTGGAACAGGGTTTCTCACTGTACCTGAGGTTCACCACTGTTACTAGGCTGGCTGGCCAATAGGTTTGTCTCTGCCCCACCATGCTGGAGATAAAGACACACTCGGCCATGAGTGGGTCTTACATGGGTACTGAGGATTTGAACTCAGGTCTTTTTGCTTGCACAGCAAGTGACCTTAACCACTGAGCCATCTTCTTAGTCCCCAAAGCCTAACTCTTTTAGATAGAAATCAACACCAATAATCTTACAAGTAGGGTTTGATCCTTACCTTGGGCAGAGCTATCCAACACACCATTGCCTTCACATAGGATACCCTGGCTGTGGTCTTCAGAAAAGAGATAGAAAAGGTTCTGTAGGCAAGGGCAAACTAGAGACTCAGATTTTTGGATTCCTGATGGTTCAGCCATTTCTAAGCCTCCTGCTTAGACTATGTCTTTGTTTTTTCTTGCTGTGATAGAACACTGACCCAGAGCAACTCCAGGAGGTAAGGGTTCAGTTTACTCACTGGTTTCTGTAAAGTTACTTTAGGTTCTGTCCATCACAGAGGGAAGCCAAGGGAGGAACTCAAACAACAACTGTAGCGGAGGCCACAGAGGAGTGCTGTCTATTGGCTTACTTCTCTTAGCTCATTCACTTTGTGTTCTTATAAATCACTTGCTAAAATGTGCAACCAAAAGAATGTCCCCATGGGCTTGCCTCTGGGCCAGGTTGGGTCACTCTCCTTCTCAGATGAGAGCAGCTTATGCCAAATTGACTAAAACAACAAAACAACTAATCAGCACAACTGTGCACAGTTCCCCTTGTAGAGAATAGCTCATGGACCAAGTGGTACTCAAAGAATTCGTAACTGCATCTATTTATTTATTTAATAACTGGTTTTCTAGAACTTCCTTTAAAGATAGAGATGAAAACATGTCAGCCTAAGATAAATACTTAACAGAGTATGAAAGCTAAAGTGGCAAAACATGGCAGCTTCTCAGATCACTGTGAGCTCAGGACCTGGGCCTTGCCACCTTTACAGTACAGTGGGAGAACACAAAGTATTGGTCTGACCTTGTCTCCAAGGAGACAGCATCCGGATGGGATCTTACGGAGTGCTGGTCTTGGGTTTTAGGTACAGTTGAACTGACCGACGCCATCTCTGCCCAGATTCATCTGGAATGGACGTGGTACCTTGGAGTCACACAGGCCTCTTTTCCCCTCTAATTTCCTAGTGTCTGCTGGAGAAGTTGCCAACTTCGGGGCCTATGCATTTGCACCTGCGACAGTTGTCACACCGCTGGGAGCACTGAGCGTCCTTATAAGGTCACTATATCCTCTTTTGACACCGCTGGCTCGTATCTGTTTTCATTTTGTTAAGACATGAATTTACCAAAGTGGGAGCAGCTGGAAAGAAGGAACATGTTATTCAGAGCTCCAGGCCCTAGGACTGATGGCTGCCATGGACCTCAGTATTCCCTCAGTGAACTAAGACCATGAGTCCCAGTGTTCTGTTGTTTATAGTGTGTATGTAGAATATGTATATATGAATATGTATCGTGTGTACAGACGCATGTGCATATATATGTATATACCTCTGTGTAAGCTGTCTGTGGGGGGCAGAAGGCAGAGGGCAGAGTTCATTGTCTCTTCCTTAGTTTCTACCTTAGTTTTTCACAATGTCTCTGACTGCCTGGAGCTCACCAATTGGCTATTCAAGAGCTCACCAATTAATTGGTTAGGCTGGTCAGCCAATAAGTTCAGGAATCCTCTGGTCTCTGCCTCCCCAGCACAAGGATTATAGGCACAAAGCAGCACAGCTGATTTTTAGGCGTGTCCTGGGGATTTGAACTCAGGTCCTCATGCTTGCCATCTTCCCAGTCTCAAGTACTAATCCATGCTCAAATCTTAGCAGTTATAGATTCATAAGTCTCGGTGTCAAGCCTTAATTCATCCATATGCAAAATAGAATACTAATGATATACACCCAGAGAGCTAAATGGAACAACATAGTGAATGGATTTAGAAGAAACTTGCTCCAAGCAACCATGGCTACAATTTACATAGGAAAACTACGCATTAAATCATCTGAATGTAAGCCGTGTACTAACTCACTTAATCCTTTCGTTTGTTCCCAAGACCCGGAGGGGTTAACTATTTTGGCCACCGTAACTTTGCAGCAAGTTCTACTTCTTGACCTATTTCTTTTCCTTGGGTGGTAGAGCAAACCTTCTTCTACTTGTGTATGTCAATACGAAGACCCTGTTACCAGGCCAGGATCCACCCTATGCAGTATAATTCCAGGCGCCAGGTGTTAGCTGCCGTGCTATCCTGTGTTGCCTCTCAGTAAAGACTTTGCAAACAACAGTTTTAAAAACTAAAGATGTTAGGTCTGGTAATACAGGAGTAGAGTACTCACCTCGCATGCCTGGCTTTGACTGCTAACATCCCCAAACAACCTAAACCAATAATACAATAAAATAATTACACCTAAGCATTTGTGCCTCTTACCACCCTATTTCTCCCAAGCTATGAACACAGATACTTCTGTGGGGGTTCTTAAAACACATCTGAAGGACACTCTCATTTAGAGACTACTACTTCTGGAGCTCTGGTAAACCCCACCCAACCACACCTGGCACCCATAATCTCTTCTGTGTTGGGTTTTTTTTTTTTTAACTTGGTGATAATTTTGCAACATTTACAATTGTGAAGCAAGTAGACTCCTGATTCTTAGTGTTCAACTAGCCTGACTGGTGTCACTGCTCACAGAAGTGCTTCCCAAATCTGATGTGTTTACAAATTCTCACTCCTGGGATGTTTTGAGAGGTATGGGATTCTCAATTCCTTGGCGATGCCTGTGTAAAATAGTTGAGGCTTGCTACTCCAGTGTTGCCCAATTTGCATATAGTCCCAGGACCACCTACCCAGGGATGGCACCACCCACCAGGAGCTGAGCCCGTCTGCATTAATCATCAGTCAAGAAAATGGCCCACAGGTTTGCCTACAAGCCGAGACCTTTTGATATTACTAGGTCCCAGAGCAGCCAATTCATTTTTAGTGTGAACTAACGCTGCCTTCATAATGCAAATGAGCTCATGACTCATCCCCAGCCTGCCCAGTTCCCCTTCTGTTTCCCTTACTGAGAAGATCAGAAGGAACAGAAATCATATCACCAAGGAGATAGAAGGATCTTACTTAGGAAACATTCTAGAAAGCACAAAAGTTCTCTTTAACATAGAGGAAAACCCATTAGCTTTGTAATAAGATCAAAGTATTGTTCAAAACCTGCCTTTGCCACTTACCAGTCAAAGAACTTTGCTGAATCATTTAAACTTTCAAAAGCTCAGTTTTCTTATCTGTAAACTGGGAGCGGTATATGTTAATTCACGGTGTTGTTAAATTGACTCTTAACACAGTACCTATTAGGAAATACAAGGCCCAAATCATAGTGTCTATTATTATCATTGTGGTGATTTATATTGGCATATGCAAGTGAAAGAGAAGTAGATTCATAATTTATGACCCAAGGAACAGAAATGGAACAAGGAATAGAAATTGCCAGAAAATGCATTTGGAGTGAGTAATGTGAACCTGCAATGTACTCGTTTGGTTTGTTCCATGCTACCAGGTGCACACAAGCCATGGTTGAAAAACATCTTCTAGCAGTACTGCCGGACAATGCGTTCAGTCGATAGGGAGTCAGACAAGAGTACTTTGAAAGGCTCTTTCAGCTTGTCTTAGTTTGCTTTTTATTGCTATGATGAAACACCATTACCGAAATGGGATTTATTGGGCTTACAAACTACATCATGGAAGAAAGCCAAGAACTTGCTTTAGAACTAGAAGCTTGCTCCTCTTGGCTTGTTCAGTTTGCTTTCTTTACACCCCAGAACTTGCTAGTTTGCTTTCTTTACACCCCAGGACTGCCCAGGGATGGTACTGCCCACTGCTCAACCATATCAATCAAGAAAATGCCCTCACAGGCTTGCCTACAGGCCAGTTTGATGGGTACATTTGCTGAGCTGAGGTCACCTCTTCTCAGATGACTCTAGCTTGTGTCAAGTTGACAATAAACCAGCCTTTGGTTTGGGGACGGTTTGCATTTCAAAAATAAAAGAGATCTATTTGTATTTCTGCTTTTCCAGCATACATTACAATCTCCTAGAAATGTGTTTCTGCTTTTGAAAGTGTGGGGTTAGACAGAAGGAATCTAGGAAGCCCTCTACAGAGAGAAGTGAGTTCTGGACTGTTGTTCTCCATAAGTGTTTACTCAGTCCTCATGTGTCTTTTAGGGAGCTGGGATAGATACCCTCTTTCAACCCCTCTTTCATGTCCCCCTATACAGTGCCATCTTTTCCTCCTACTGCCTGGGAGAGAGCCTGAATCTCCTGGGGAAGCTGGGCTGTGTGATCTGTATGGCTGGCAGCACAGTGATGGTCATACATGCCCCCAAAGAGGAGAAGGTCACTACTGTTGCAGAGATGGCTTCCAAGATGAAAGACACAGGTAGGCTTCAAGCACCTGGTTTGCAGGAAACACAAGGGGATGAATTGTGTATAGACTGTCTAATTGGGCTCTGGCCATCTTCATGCTGCCCCCTTGAGGAAAAGGTGAACAACAGAAAGGAAGCTGGATGGTACCTGTTAGCAAGGCTTCCTGGATTGATGTGAATACACAGTATCTATTGTTCATCATGTGCCAGGCATGTCTCTAAATACACATTATTTTTATTATTAAAAACATTTTATGCAAGACGATGCATCAACTCATAGAACAGCTCTTCAAGACAAAAGGAATCCTATTGTTTGGTCCTTTTTTGTTTTTTTTTTAACAAATGAGGAAACTAAGGTCTTAAGAGTTTAGTAACTTGTGTGAGTTACTAAAAGTTGTTACTAAAAGGTCTGAGGTTGGGACTAGAACTCGCCTGTGTCAGGCTATAAGTCCGGGGCCCTGGATACTATCTGCATCCTTCGCTGAATAACTTGTGCCCATCCTTCCTGAAGGGTTCATCGTATTTGCTGTCCTTCTGGTGGTGTCTTGCCTCATCCTCATCTTCATTGTTGCTCCACGCTACGGGCAAAGGAATATCCTCATTTACATCATCATCTGCTCTGTGATCGGATCCTTCTCTGTTACTGCCGTCAAGGGGCTCGGTGTCACCATTCGGAACTTCTTCCAGGGCTTACCAGTTGTGCGGCACCCCCTCCCCTACATCTTGTCCCTCATCCTGGGACTTTCCATCATCATCCAGGTCAACTTCCTCAACAGGGCACTGGATATTTTCAACACCTCGTTGGTTTTCCCTATCTACTATGTTTTCTTCACCACGGTGGTGGTGGTTTCCTCCATCGTCCTCTTTAAGGAGTGGTACACCATGTCTGCTGTGGACATCGTGGGCACCCTGTCTGGCTTCGTCACCATCATCCTGGGTGTTTTCATGCTTCATGCTTTCAAGGATTTGGACATCAGTCAAATCAGCTTACCCCACACACACAAAAACACGACTCCAACTCCTGCCCCAGAGCCCACGGTCATTAAACTAGAGGACAAGAACGTCCTTGTGGATAACATAGAACTTGCCAGCACACCATCACCACAACAGAAGCCCAAAGTATTTATGATCCATTCTTAAAGCCTGGAGTACATGAGTAACAGGAGGCATCCAGTTGTCTAGCCTGACCTCTCAAGTTCACAACTACCTGGTTACTTTCAGCACATCTGTTGACGAGGGCTATTTTTTTTTTTTTGAGATATTCATTTATACCTCACTTCTGTTCCTAGAAGAAAAAAAAATCCCTACCCAGTAAGGTAGGTGGCAGGACTTCCTGGAAATACAACCTTGGTGACTAAATCCTCAAGTTTCTGTTGGAGCCAGCAAGTCCCCAGAGCCTCTTCTCCCTGGTTCCCTCAACACCACCATGTTGTTGGTAGAATTTGACCTGCTGAATGTAGCCCAGCTGAAGAACTTCCCTCAGATATCGGTCATCAGGAAATTCTTCATACCAATTAGCCTGTCAAGCTAGACTTCTCAGTCCTTGGCCCAGGAATGGAGCTTGTGGGGGATTGCAGAGAAATCTGTGTGCCTCATCATGCCAAGGTGTATAGCACATGCCAAGTAGCCTGGTGTTTCTTGTAGACGGAAGCAAGACCCCAGCTGACCTGCTTACTGTGAATACTACCTGACATCTCAGGGAAGTTTCAACTGGCCGGTTCTCCACACACTCCAGCCTGGAGGTCACATCTTATTGTCTGTGCCCCCAGTGGCAGGCACCACTACCCTTCCCTTTCTCTGTCCATCCCAAGACACCAGTCACTGATACATGTAGGCTGTAACCTTAGCACCAACAGCAGGCGATGCCTCCTAGTTCAGCTCTGCTGCTCAAGTCCGTGTTCACCTAGCAGCCTCTGAGAAGAGAACAGTAGTGTGCTGTCATGCTGGAATTTAGCAGAATGAAAATTTTTTTTTGCATCAAGAAGTTGGCCATAATATGATTTAGGGAGGCAGAGGAAAGTATTAGAAGCAATGTCATGGTTGTCAGAATGGATTCATGGGCTCTCTGGAATCCTAGACATAATGTTTGGCCTGACTCAGACCCAAGCAAGGACCAGACCAAAAAAAGGTGTGGGGAAATTTCTGAGCTGTAGCTAGTGGAATTGGATTAGAATCCCAGTGACCCAGTGGGACTGCAGGCCTGACACAGCCTTGTTGGCCCAACTGGAACTGAGTTTGTCTCCATTGACAACCTAGCTGCCCACAATGGACGCAGCATGCCGTGACTCCTCCACCTGCTCTTGGGATCACCTTTGGTGACATCACCATTTGGCCAGAAACAGGCAGAGAATAGCAGCTGGAGAGAGAGAACGGGGTCCTTTTCTTCCTAGCTCCTTACAGCTATGAAAGTGTAGGCTTGACACAAGGACCATAAGAGAGTGAAGTTAGGAGCCAGTTTGTGGTAAAGGGGAAACTTGATCTTCAGTTCAGGTAGCACTGTCAAGCTCCCTGCCTACATCCTGTGTTCACATCTGATTCCCTAAATACAACCACACCCAGGTCAAACTGTATCTGGCCTTGGACAAGCTCTTAGGGCAGATCAACACTCTGGGCCCCCTCTACCTTCCACCTCCAATCCCCAGTATTTTAATGAATGTGGATTTCCGACTGTGACTGAAATCAATGCAACACATTGGATCTTGGGGAGTGGTAGTAAACTGAGGGTTCCGAGATCATAGGCTCTGGGGTCAGTAATAAAGACTTCAGAGTGTGTTTACTTGACAAATGTCCTGACCTTCCATGAACACCGAGCAAATTAACTCCACTGGTCTGTTTCACATGCCAGTCCCTGATCTCCAAAGCAAAGCCCTCCTGTGTCTTCCAAGATCTGTTCTCACTCAAGCAGGGAAAGTTGCTGTATTTCTGAGTACCATTCACTTTGTTAATGGCTATGCCCTTACTAGGAGCCAGGCATGTGGCAGAAAGCATATGAAATATGAAGGATGATCTTCCCTAGCATTTCTGCGAGGGTTTAATGAGGTGACTATCTTATGTTTTATTTTTGTGAGAGACACCATAACCATGGCAACTTTTATAAAGAAAAACATTTCATTGGGGCTGGCTTACTATTCAGAGGTCTAGTCTATTATCGTCATTATTGTCATAGAGGGAAGCATGGCAACACACAGGCAGGCATGGTGCTGGAGAGGCAGCTCAGAGTTCTACATCTGGTTCCACAAGCATCAGAAAGAATGAGACACTGAGCCTGGCTTGTGCTTCTGAAACCTTAAAGCCCACCTCCAGTGACACACTTCCTTTAACAAGACCACACCCACTCCAACAAGGCCACACCCCCGTTAATGCCTTTTCTTATGAGTCTGGGGGGGGGGACCATTTTCATTCAGACCTACACAGTAAAGCTCCTGTAATCTTAGAAAACCTCAAAACTGAGGCTGGAAGGAAATGAGTGTGGTGGTGAAGGACCAGCAGTATGAGCTATCTCCACACAGTCCTGGGGAATCTTAAGTACACACAATCTTGGCCTTTCTGAACCTATCCACTAAGTCCGAGAGACCCACACTAAGTCTCTCCCCTTCATTAAAGCATATCCCTTAGTGAAGAGGTAGTCACAGAGTATCTCAGCTGTGTCCCAAAGGCAATAGTGTAGAAGAACCTTCTAGAATCTAAAGTTTATTAAAGCCTTTGGTGATCCAAGACCTAATGAAGCCAGACAATCTTGAGCACAGGTACGAAGCAGGCAGCCCTCTCCACTGGCCATGAGAAAACCCAGGGCTTCACTGTGGTTCAGGTCATGGCCTACTGGGAAGACTGGTGGTCTGTGTGAAACCTCTGAGACGTTCACATCCCATGTCTTAAGTGGTCCAGGGAGTGGGGTACTGAAACAGTACACACACAAAAGAACTGTCCAAACAGAGAGCATTTCCTAATGACAATTTGTTTTAATTAAATACAAACAAGGAGAAAAAAAAACCTCAAAAAACAAAAAAACAAAAACAAGGCACCATGGCCCATTCAAGTATTTTGCATAGATGTACAAATATTGTAAACAATCAATAGGAGGACATGAGAGGAGAGGACTATTTCCTGTGAACAATCTCCCAAATCAAAAGAAAATTCACATTTGCCCTGGATCCCAGACATAGACACAGTCATACAAGAGGACACTGGGTGCACGACTTTGGAGTGCTGGGCTCGGATTCTACAGAACCTCTCCCTAGCAGGCTGCCCTAGGGAAGGGGTACCATTCCAGTTGGTGTTCCCTGGCTTCTGTGTGGAGTCCTTTGGGTCTGTCATTACACGCATTTGACAAAATGACTAGCCTCCAATTTTAAAAATACAAGTCTCATGCCCACTTTATCAAATAAGCAAATTAATTGAGCCCAGGGAGACACTGAAGGATTACTGCACCATGGCAGGGGGCTATTGCAACAGAAGCAACTGTTGCTTTGCAGAAAACATTCAGGCCCTAACATCTACAGCATCTTGGAGCAGGGGTAGAAAGGGGCTTTTCTCTTATTGGTGGAAGTCACCAAGGCTAGAAAGAACAGAAATCGAGCAGGGAGTTACAACTTGGAAGGAATTAGCCCAGGCTATACCTCTCATAGAAATTGGGAGCTGAGGTTTACAGGTCAGAAATGGCTTTGCAGTTCTATGGTTGGCAGGCAGCTAATCTAGCTTCGAAAAAACATTTACAGCCTGGACCGGGGGATGTAGCTCAGTTGGTAGAGTGTTTGCCTATGTACACATGAAGGTCTGTGTCTGAACCCAGGACCATATAAAGCATAGCACACACCTGCAGTCTGAGCACTCGGGAAGAAACAAGCACTCAGGAGTTCAAAGGTCATCCTTGGTTTTGGTTTTTGTTTTTTTTTTTAAGTGAGTTAAAGGCCAACCTAGGATACATGAGATCCTGTCTTAATTTTTGCTTTTGTAGAGGGTTTTTTTTCCCCTCTGTGTGGCCCTGGTTGTCCTGTAACTTCCTTTTGAGACCTGGCTAGCTTCAAACTCAAGATATCTACCTGCCTCTGTTGGGACTAAAGGTGTACACCACTAAATCCAGCTACAAACCTTCCCTCAGTCCACCAGAGCCTTGGCTTTGACCTGTTCCAACATCTTCTGACATCTCTCTTCAGTGGCCAGGAACAGAGATGCCTTAAACAGTTATTTCTAGTCTTGCTCACTTTCTATGCATAAGAAAAGGCCTTTTCCGTCTCAGATGCCCCCACAAACTTAGTGTAGGTAGACTAAAGAGTTCTGTTGCGACCACTCCCTCTTCCCCATGTGGTAATATTCTTTCATCTCCTAAGTCACAATCCTTTGGGACAAACCCTGTCCTTGAAGTCTAAATACACCTGTATGGAACCCTTCACAATGCAGATGGGAAGGGATTCCTACCTGTGACAGCCTTGCTGGCCTTTGGAAACAAAGCCTAGAATGAAGGTGTACGTAGAGTAGCTGCCAACATTTCTACCAAGTTAAAAAAAAAATCCCGCCCTCTTACACTTCACAGTATAAGTTTATGGGGTGGAGGTGGTATCGAAGTAATGAAAAAGAAAAAAATGGAAGTGACTGCCAAGGAGCAAAGAAATGGGTGTTTTTCTGATATGGTTCAAGGGACTGAAAGCGGAGGGTGTGTGGTGAGAATCAGGGTGGCCTATGTTTCTAGGGCCCAGCCTGTAGTCACTGGCATTTGGTAAAGCACACAAATGACAAACTGATATAGGAGATGGACCGAGGCCTAAGCAAGCATTTGGATCACACTCAGAGAGTGTGAACAGCAATCACCCTGAAAAGAAGAAAGGTGTTTTCCTGAGATCTTTCTACCCCAGGCCATGTACGTCATATCTCCCTCTTGTCTACAATCCCAAGAGCTTACTCTGTGAAGAGATATAAGGAGGCCTCGAGGTGGTAAATGGGGAGTCAAAGCTTGCCTCTTCCTCCGGAGGGTTCCAAGAGCTAACAACTGCTTGCTGTGGGTGGCGGGAAGGCCCCTAGAGAACCCTCTGGAGTGCTATTAGAACCTTTTTAGGGGTGGAAGATGGCCTCTCAGAGGCTAGGCCCAACAAATGTATAAAAACCACTCTAAGTAGTGGAGCACCAAGCAAGAAGTCCACCCAAGTCCCATTCCCAGCTTCTCAGCATTTTCTATGACAATCACATAGGGGCGAGTAACCAGGAGAGAACCGATGGAGGTACATGATAAACCCCTGGTTGAAGATAGTTTGGGGAACCTTGCCCAGATCTGGCTCACCATGGCTGCTGAGAGCGATCTGTTCAGAGTCAACAGTCCCACCTCAGAGCTGACCATCAGGGAGGGGCTGGTGCCCCTGTGTATAGATTACTAGTAGCCAGGATTCCAAACATGCCAGTCCCCCTCAGTATAGCTGTGGATGTCCTGGAGAACCTTACTTAGATATAGGTCAGAAACAAGGAGGAGACCCCTTATCCTGCTGGAGGCCATAAAATACAAGAACATGCAGAGCTGTCTGTCTGTCTCTCTCATTCTCTCTCTCTCTCTCTCTCTCTCTCTCTCTCTCACACACACACACACACACACACACACACACACACACACACACACACAGCCACTCGGCTCAATGCTCTTGAGATCCAGTGCAGGAAGTCCAGTGGCTACCCCATGAGGCAGGATCCTGATTTGCAGGTCACTGGTATATAGTCACTAGCAAGTCAGGACTGCTGTGGTTCGCCACCAAAGCACCATAGGATAAGGATGCTGGAGGAGAAGGTGACACATGGAACATTAGGGATGGATAGCTGGGGATTCTAAATGTCCTTAGCAACCTTTGGCATCATGGCTCAGAGGGGACACAGGCTGACCACTCCCCTCTGCTGTCTACACTACTTACAAATAGTACCTGTCTGAGTCAGAGTGACCCGTGTAAATATGGGGATGGGAATGTGAAGAACGGCAGGGGAGGGGATCATGGCTTGTCACATGCAGCCAGATAGCCAGGAACAGGCACCTTGTCCAAGCCTTGGGGCAGGAATGCAGCAATAAGCTTCCTCAGTCCCTAAAAGCTAAGAGATGGTAAGGCCCAGCCTGGGCAGTCTGGGATCCCAGAGGGAGGCCAATCAGTGAAGCTCCCATGTGTACCTGCCAGCATAGGACCCAGATGGATGCCTTCTCCAAGTTCTGCACAGGAGGACCCCAACTCAAGACTTCCCTGAGCATCGCTGGTAGCTCTTGGCTAATGGGCTGAGGGAGAATTTTCCCCACCCTCCTTCATATGCTTCCCTTTCCTACCCGGGCTGTATATTGCACAGGACAACACTTAGAAGCCATCGGATATGAGTCCCTCTGGGCCTCAGAGGAAGCAGGAGGCACTAGGGCAAGAAAGGAGATTCTGAGGATGAGGGGGCGTTCCAGAAGGCTGCAGAAGCTTCAGAGTGGCCGAGCAGGCTTCTTTCTTCTGGACCTTCCATGGCATCCGGAGTCTTCAATCGCAACCAGAAACTTCTAGACACTTCTAGATCTTGGAGCTAGTTATCCCTCCAACCCTCTGTGATCGGTACTCAGGAAGCTGGAAAGGAAGAGAAAGATGCGACCTCAGTGCTGGCCAATGGGACTGCGGGCAACTGTCCTCTTGCTCTTGTCAGCCAAGAACAGAAGCATGGTCATCAGACATCTGTCCCTGTGGCTGCTTTCTGGGGCTACCAGCTCTTGGAGTGACAGCAATTGTGTGCCCACCCCCAAAGCTGGAAACTTGGCCCCTACCCTCTTTCCGTCAAGTTTCAGTACAATAGTTTCCCAGTGCTTCATGGGAATATGGACTGGAAGCCAGCTTTCTTGCCTCACTGCTTCTGACCCAACTCCCCAGACTAAATTGAGGACATGGCAGCCAGAGGGGAACATTGAGGAGAGGGACATATGTTGACAGGCTTGTGTAAACTAATGGCTTTGACCTTCATAGCAATGTTATGGAGCTGGTCCCTGCTGCTTCTTAGGCCTTTTTAAAAATTACCTTGAACTGCCTTGCTGGCCAATCTTAAGCCTTCTTATCAAGAAAAGGACTTTCTCAAGGTGGCCTATCAGAGCTCAGGTTTCTGTGTGATGCCCTCATTTTCGAGTAAATTCAAACCTCCCTTTGTTCATGTAAGGTACAGCCAAACAGACCTCCATCCAAGCAAGGCTAAGTGTTCATTTTTGCTTCTGTTCTAGAACCTCAGTTTGGACAACGAGACTGTGTTCTTAGCCACACACTTCCCCTCTGCCCTTTCTGGGTCCTTCTGTGGTCTCACCTTCGGAACAGACACTGCTGGAGGCCTGGGAGGCTGAGGACCAGTAGTAGGGGGCTGAAGCAGGGAAGTGTTTCCTGGCCTGGGAACGGTCCTTTGGCCCGGCACTGGATTCGCTGGAAGTGCCTTCTGAGGTGGTCGAGGCCTGGATAAATCCTGGAGGGAACAAGAAGTCTTACTTGAGAGGCTCCCTTTAAAAGAAAATACGCCTAATATCTTATGGATCACAACCAAAATAACTTACAGACTGGATTGTCTCATTTTTAAAGGACTCGCCTGTGTGTGGATATATAATATAGTCACATGCTAAGAAAAATAAGACCCTATGGAAAACAAGTTGGCTATCTCTATTAAAATTACAGCTATGGGCATAGCATGATAAGGCACACTTTTAATTCTAGCACTCAGAAGGGAGAAACAGGTGGGTCTATGAATTCAAAACCTTGTCTTAAAATTATTTTTTTAAAAAAAATGTCTTTTCCTGATGTGAAAAATCCCACTTCCTGTTAACCACGTTAGAGACTGTTAGCACAAGGCTGCAGAAGGATGGTTTGCAAGGATGTCTCTGTGCACACATGGTTTATATAACACCAGAGAACCTAGACACTTCCAAAATGTCCACGGTGGGAGAAAAATGTAAACTTATCCAGTGATGAGGGCAACAGCATGTACAAAGGGCAAAGCAGCAGAATCTGGGCTAATGAGCTGCAAGACAAGCTGACACGGACCCGACCAAGGAGCACGTATACAAACCTGACCACCACATGACTGCCTAAGGCCAGCGGAAATGAACAGAGGTGGGTGGACATGATCCAAGAAAACAGAATGAACGCTGCGTGCGTGCATGCGTGCATGCATGCATGCGTGAGAGAGAGAGAAAGAGAGAGTACATGTATGTGTATGTTCGTGTACACACGTGTCTGTGTGTGTGAGAGTATGTGTGCATGTGCATATGAGAGAGAGAGAGAGAGAGAGAGAGAGAAGAGACAGAGAGTCCAGGTGTGTGTTCGTATGCACACGAGTCTGTGTGTGTGTGAGAGTATGTGCGTGCGTGTATGAGAAGGAGAGAGAGAGAGAATGTGTATGTATGTGTAGTGAGAGTGTGTGAGAGTTTGTGCACACATGTGCACAATTTTAACTAATTTTATTTTAATTAGTTTATTTCTCCCCTATTAACATAAATAATTTACCAGGCTTTTATTTTCTTTTCTCTAGCCATCTCTGACTAGAACTGAAATAGGGGCAGGGCGGGGCACCTTTTCTGTCTGATTCATGGAGACATCACAGGCTTTTGGGAGCAGCTAATACTACTCAGGAAACAGACAACACCAGAAACATAAGTATAAATGAGCTAATCAAATTTCTCAAAAACAGATATATACTTCTGTATTACTTGAATTTTTTAGTATAAAGAATTATTGCTGTTGTTTTGAGTCGGGGTTTTTCTACATAGCCCTGCCTGTATTGTAACACCATGTAGATCAGGCTGGCCTTGAACTCAGAGCAATCCACCTGCCCTGGCCTTTCAAGTGCTGGGATTGATGGCATGCACCACCACACTGGGCTATTAGTATTATTTTTATTATGTATATGTGTGAGTTTATGCCCTATATGTTCAGAATCCAGAAGATTCCATGGAACTCATTGATGTCAGTGCTGGGAACTGAACCCTGGTCCTCTCCAAGAGCAGCGAGTGCTCTTAACCACTGAGCAATCTCTCCAGCCCCAACTAATCAATTTTTTAAAAAAACAAATATGTGCTTTTTTTTTGTGATTGGAAAACCAAAATGTTTTGAGTCAAAATCATGGCCTGCCCTTAAGCTGGTGGGACTCGAGAGAAGCCAGTTCCTTGACCTGCCTATAAGGGGCGCTCCTGAGCTCCATGATAGGCACAGGGCGAGTGTGCAGGGGGCAGACACATTGCAGAGTTGGTTTTCCTACACGAATGACTTCTCAGGATAAAACCTGAAGCTGAGAAAGAAAAGTCGAAAATGTCTGAGACCAGAAAGCTGCTGCACACCCTTGAGCTCTACCCTTTCTGGGAGGGGTGCTGTTCTGGGAGGGTACAAAGTACAGGATAGAACCCCAAGTGGACCAGAGAGCTCAAGTCTTCCAGGGAAAGACTGCGGGGTATAGGTGACAGTTGAGAAACTGCAGACTGAGCCACTGGTGGCTGTTATCTGCCTTGGAACCTTATCAGAATGTCTGCCCTGGGCTTTCCAGCACTAAGCCTCCCAAAGAAGCCGTCTGATACCAGAAGCTAATCCCTGGTGTGAGAATAAACAGAGCCAAAACTTAACACTACAGAGGACTTTCTAACCTGCAGCAAGCAAGGAGAACATGATGAGATCTGCTAAACTACACCCCTCCAAAGGCAGCAATGCCAACTTTATCCAGTGAGTCCATTCACAGTCATAAGGTGTACTCCCCTGAGCATGCTCAGTTTAAGGTCATAGTTTACAACGATAGTAAAAGCTGGCCCACTTTGGGGCATGCAGGACTCAATGCCATGGAGCAGTGTTTAACATGATTAGGTAGAAATGAGTCTGGGTATGCTGAGTTTGCACCAGAAAGTTTCAGATGCAGTCAGTCCCTCCCCTGCATGGATTTCTATGTCACATCCTGGCCCCATACACAGGCACTTGCAAGGGGCAGTTTCCCAGCACAGAACCCAACCTGATACCTTCACTGTCTCATGCTCTAGGGACCATACCAAACCTGAAGCTGATCATGTGGTGGTTGTGATCAGAGAAACATGGGCCCTGGGGACCTTTGGATCATACCAAGAAAAAGCAAACACAATCAATTCTAGAGACCACTGCCTAAGAAATGTCCACGTCTTCACTGGGGAACCTATACCAGAGTATACATGCTAAGCAGACAGGCCACCGTGTTATAGTTCCAAGTTGTGAGCATCAGCTACACAGAAGGGGACAGTCTAGACCCATCACCTCCCAGAGACCCCCTTAGGCAAGCGAGACATCATGGTGCACCCTTTAGTAAGACTCTTCGGTGAGTGGGAGCTAACTAGTAGGTACAATTTGTAGGACTGAGTACAATGAGAGAGACACTGGGTACTAAGATCAGCCTTACTAGGTGAGAGAAGCCTCTTGGGAGGAGTGTTATCTAAGGTCACAACTGAGGGTGAATAGGAATAGGCCAAGTAGAGGAATGTGTGTGTGTGTGTGTGTGTGTGTGTGTGTGTGTGTGTGTGTGTGTGTAAAAACAGCCTGTGCAATGACCAGAAGAGGACAAGATCTTGAGAAACTGAAAGAAGTTAAGTTGGGGTACAAAGTGGGTGGAAATGAAATAGGAAAAAAGCATCATGTAGCTTAGGGACTGTCCAGGAGAAGAGGAGGAGGAGGAGGAGGAGGAAGAGAAGGAGGAAGAGGAAGAAGAGGAGGAGGAGGAGGAGAAGGGAGAAGAAGAAGAAGAAGAAGAAGAAGAAGAAGAAGAAGAAGAAGAAGAAGAAGAAGAAGAAGAAGGAAGAAAAGAAGAAGAAGAAAGAAGAAGATTAGTTGTAGTAGCAGCAGCAGTAATAGTCTTTTGGTTTGTTGGGACAGGGTTTCTTTGCATAGCCTTAGCTGTCCTGGGACTAGCTGTGTAGAATAGGCTGGCCTCAATCGCAGAGATCCACCTGCCTCTACTCCTGAGTGCTGGGATTAAAAGTGTGCACTCCTACCAACCAGCTGGGAAGATACTTCTTACTCTTTATTGCTAAACCTCTGGAAGCCCATTGAATTCACCAGAACAAGGATGATCAAATCCAACCAGTGCATCATGCCAATGACTCTCATTGCAGGTGGCCTGTTATGGGCCATGTCCCCAGCCTAGGGTTGCCAAGAACCCACTTACCTGGGACAGTAGGCAGTTAGGTGCAGGGGGCATGGGCCGGGTTGGGGGAGGCCTCCTGGCTGACTCCTTTCTTTCTATTTGAGCTCCCGCCGTTGGGGAGCTCCCAGAAGTCCTGTTCAGATGTGCTGGCAATGGTACAGGTGGGGGCTCAACACGCAGGTAGTCTGGAGGGGGCCGGGGAGGAGGGTGGGAGGGCTTCCGGAGAGTTTCAGGGGTGTTAGTCACCTGTATGAAGAAGACACAGAGCAGCTGAGATAAGGAATCCTCTCTAAGTGTATGTCTCAATGAAGTGACCAGAGCCTCATCTGAAGGTAAGACAAGCTGACCTTTGGATTCCAAGCTGTAGATCCAACTGCCAAGCCCCTAAGATAGCTTTCATTACTATAGCCCCGTGTGCACACATACGCACTTAAGAAAGCCAAACAGGGATTAAGGGAAATCAATCAGGTTCAATGGTGCAAAGCCCTTACCTTTCGCTTGCCCTGGGGTGTTTGCAACTTGAAAGTTGGGTTGGCATGGCCAGTTCCACCATTCTGAGACACCCTGAAGGGACAACTGGAAACAAGGAAGAGGGGACAAGGAGGAGGGAGATGTTCAATGGTGCGTGTGGACTAAAAAATCTGACCCAGGCCAATGGACAAATCTAATTAACCCTCCTCTGGAAAGTGGGATAATCCTCTGAAACCCATCTCCTAAATAATAAATAAGTATACATACTGCCAATGGAGAAGCTCAAGGAAGGGCTTCTGCCTTGCACAGAGCAGACCTCTCCCTCCCCAATACGGAGGCAGAGGTTTCCTATCACTAGGCATCATGTACCCCTCCCCCTCCCCCTCCAGCATGGATACAGAAGGATTCGGGGCAGAAAAAAAAATCCCTTCCGGTGTAAGTACATTTAACAGAACTCTAGGGACTGTGGCACATCAATGTCTCAATGAATTAATCATTCGTCTTCTTGGGTTAATGTCTAGTTATCTCTGTGACTGATTGAGCTTGTCATCCCTCTCTGTTGCCTCAGCTTCCTGCACTTTAGAAATAAGATATAAGTTAGCCAGGCAGAGAACGGTAAATAGATTTTATGTCATACCTCAATTTGAACTGGCTAAGGGAGGAATAAGAGTGAATGACCAGGCTCAGTAGAAATCACTTGCAGCCATTACCTAATAACATCTGCCATGGTGACCGAGCAGGACTGAAGGGGTGAGGGTGGCACGTTCCCTGCCTTCGCCATCCCAGAATTAGACCCATCACCACCAGCCTTTCCACAAGGGCTGGCCACAGCACCCTGTCCCACCTGAACTGCTGTCGCAGCTTGAACGGGAGCGCTGAGGGCTTGCCCAACTTGTGGCTCTGTCGGTAACAGTGGCACAATAGCACCAGGACTGCCAACACGAAGAGGGCCGAAAACACACCCGCGATCACTGGACCCACGCCTGCAGGAAGTCAGCACAATGAGAGAATTAGTGGCCGTTCAGGCAATAGTAACACGACAGAGCCTCAGTTCCCTTTCAGAGACTCAATTCTCATTTTATTTGTGCAACTTATTTTAAACAAACACAACTACATGCAACACCCACATTATATACTATTGGGGCCTAATGCCAGCTGAAAGAGTCAGGCCCAAGGGCTTTTAAAGACAGTCCCCACAGTCATTTCTGTTCAGCTGATGAGATTTTTCCCAAAGCAGTTCAGACGCCGTCATTTACCATCAGCTTCCAGCTAATGGATTTTCATAAAGTCAGCCAGCATCACAATTTTCTTGGACACAGAGCAACGGCCAGAAAATACTGGCTCAGACGCCTCAGGACTGAAACTCTCACCCTGGACCCTCAGCCTCATGGCTGGGTCCAAAGCCATCTCAACAGTTCTACGAGTCATAAATTTAAATATACACAGTACGCCTGCGTCAGTGACGCCCCACGACTCTATTCATGGTCATTACATAGTCAGGCCCTTCCTTCTTGTCTGTTTTCATTTTATTATAGCCCAGACTGGCCTCAAAGTTGCAGCAACTCTCCTGCCTCAGCCTCCTAAGTGCTGGGATTACTTTTGCCATTATTCAAAAACAAAATCTGGAAACCACAGGGATCGAGTCCCCCAGGCCTCCCCTAAGAACTATAAAACTTGTCTGTTTTCCCATTCCTTAACCTTTATTCAACAAAAGGCAAAATAACCAATACAATGCACCCCAGGATTGTGGTTATTTCAAGTGTCCCTAAAAGGACTAATTATTACTTACTCCCTCAAATAATTGTGACTATCCAATAACCTACAGTCTCCCTTAATCAATCTCTCTCTCTCTCTCTCTCTCTCTCTCTCTCTCTCTCTCTCTCTCTCTCCCTCTTCTCTCCTAATAAAAGGACAGGAAGGCAACTAAGCCCAGGCCCCATAGGAAGAACTAGCATCCTTCCACTCAGCGTCTTTCTTGGTTCCCTCCCTGTAGAATCTGGGGAGTGAAGCCAATTTAACTTGGATTTTCTGTAACAGGCAAACCCAACCTATGGCCACAGTCCCTACATATAGCTATGAATGCTATGAATGCAGCCCAACACGTTTGTAGACAATGATGCCATATTGCAATGTCAACAGGCTGGAAGCTCCTGCCAACCAACCCGTTATCCTCTGCCTCTCTCACAAAGGCAGAACACTTACTCTTAGGGGGCAAAGGACCACTGTCAATGCTGCCACCGTCTCCCGGGGTGTTACAGAAAGGTGGAGCCCAGCCAGAGTTGCAATGACAGTTCTGGTTGTTGTTGCAGACCTGGAGTGAAGGGCCACAGATGTATCAGCACCCAGGAGAGCTGTAACCTCCCACAGGGCATGCCCCGACGACACCCAGGAACCCAGACCTCTGCAGGTACACACATACCCCGTGACCATTGCACTTCTTCCCACAGCCTTCCGTCTCAAAGAAGGAGGTGTTCCTGCATTGCCCCTCAAAGCAAATCTGCAACAAAAAAGAGCAGCCATCAGTAGAGCAGCAGGGACGTGGGGGAGGCTTGGGGTGTGGGAGGTTTGTCCTTAGGATGAATGGGAACCCCAAAACATATCTCGGGGTTATATATTTAATGAGAAACCCAAAAGGCCTCAAAAATCAGGACAGTGGGTAACTGAATTCTGCTATCACCTTTGTGATTAGGGAAGAAATAACGAACACTGCTGAAATGCTACATTCAACAGTGAGGACATGTTTATAGCCTAGCATCATGTTGATTATATGCCACCCAACAGTGAATGTGGACTAATTTTAGTATTATGCCTAAAAATAATGATTGTGGCAGGAGTTTACTCTGGGCTGGGCATCGTACCATGGGTTTCCTCTGTGTTTATATTTCACTAACACAATTTAATACACGAGATCGGTGGCATCATTTTCCTTGGGTTTCCCTAACCACTTCTATTTTATGTGACAGCAAATGACATGCATGACAGTGATGCCTGCATTTACATGCATAATCCATAGCCTATAGATGGGTGCTTATCAGTGGGATGGATGCTATTACTCTGGGAGCTGAGCATCATTCCCCCAGAGCCCATACTTCTCAATCTCTGTCTCTGCCTCTTGGTTTCTGAGTGAGGTTTAGGGAAGGACTCACATGGTTGTGGCCACACTTGGTCCCAGTCATCACCAGCCCTGGGTCCAGCATGTCACCTTCCCCTTCCTCCTCCTCAGGACCCCGGTAGACATGGGTGCCCCGACAGTGGATCCGCCTCCCGTTCAAGGTAATGGTGGTGTCAATAGATACTGCGTTGGATTCCAGGGGCCTGGCCTGGGTGCTCTGGCATTGGATCTTCCCACACTTGGCATCCCTGGGTCAGGAAAGAAGACAGGATCAGAGGCTGGAAGAGTTGGGGAAGAGCTGGGGCATTGCAGAGCTTCGTCTAAGCCAAGTCAGCAGGCTTCAGTGGAGCAGAGCAAAGGAGAGAGTGGGTTGGAACCCAGGAGAGACCTAAGGTAGACTCAGACCCAGAAAAGGTACAGGTTTCTTGTCTCTCAGCAGACCTAAGCCAAGAGCTCAACTTCAAATGTCCTAAATCCAAGGACACCTGAATGACATGAATACTCAGTCATCTTTATCCCAAAACCATTCTCCAGGCACTCCAACTAGGAGCTGGGTTTCCCTCTGCCTCACCGTTCTTCGTTGTTCCCAGAGTTGAGCATTTTCAACCCCCGTCAATCTTCCCTCCTACACAGCTCCCCTGACTTTCATTATTACCCTCTTTCTAGCCTGGCCTGCAAGACACCGAGTCTGCTGACTGTGGCATCCATGGGAGAAGTCCAGATCTCCCAGCGATGCCTTTAAATCTCTCAGGAACTAGTTCCTGCCTTCCTCTACCCAGGCTCATTTTCATGGCCCCCTCTCCTTTACTTCCCACAAATTGTAGCCTACTGTCTCTCCTATCAGCTATTCAACGCTCGTTTCCTCTAACGTCTCTGCCTAAAACACGTGTACACACTGGTGTGACTCCTCACCCCATTTATTTAGATGATTAGTATAGAACTCAGCTAGAGAACCCCTTGCGGGAAATGCTCCAGGCCACTAACTATTACACTGATGACCACATTGCTCTAGACACTCAATGCAGCACCTTGCATGTGGTAAATCTGAAACAGTGGTGGGCAGAGGAGTGAGTGGGTGGCTGAAATGAACGAATCAGAGATGGCTCTTAGGAGCGGGCATAATTTTAGCTCTCTGCAAAAATGGTCCAAAAGGGCAGTCTGGGATCCATGACGTTGAGATGCTGGAACATTGTCATCTCAGATCACAGCCATCTCCTGCCCCACTTTAAAAAAAAAAAAAAAAAGACAAGATTTCTCTATGTAACAGTCCTGGCTGCTCTGAAACTTGCTTTGTAGACCAGGCTAGCTCAAACTCACAGAGATCCACCTGCACACCTGCCTCTGACACCAGGTGCCAGAATAAAGGCACACCCAGCTACCCTGTCCTTCTCTTAAGAGAGTTCCCTCGATCAGCATCCTAGGAAGCAATGCTGCCTACTCCTCCTTTTCGCTTCCTTAGAGCCAACTGAACAGTGCATCACCAAGAAACAAGTAGAGAACAGAGACAGGCTTTAACTCATTTGTTTAAAAGCCGTTGGGAGGCTGTCCACACCAAGTCAGGTGGAAGTAAAGAGGACAGAGTGGGGATCGCTTGGTCACTCTTCCTCCCACCAGGTCAGAGCTGTGGTCCTCACCTGGGGCTGCACTTCCTGTATTTGCCATTCAAGCCCTTGCCACAGTTTCCATAGGTGTCACCAGCAGCGTTCACCCTCTCAAAGCAAAGATCGAGGGCAGGCCGGGCTCCTAGGTGTGCAAGAAACAGCTGTCAGTGCATAAGCCCGCCAGAGGCTCCCCATGACAGAGCTAGTGTTGGCCAGTGCCACGTCCACCATTCATCAAAACCAATTCAGAGAAAATATTTTTAGACTGGTTTTTTAAGACTTAATCGAAGATTTGTATTTATGGCAGTCGCATGCTAAGCCTGCTTGCCACTGAAGAAGAGCTGTCCTATTTCTGGACTGTCTAAGATTAGTAATTTAGGCCCCAAACATTAAAAGAATTAAAACATATCTTGGGAGGTTTTTCTTCATATCCACCTTGTTTTCCCTCTCCTATATCATGGAAAAACGACAACCTTTAGCTGTGTGTCTTCTAGAAAAAAAAATTGTCTTCGAGACCTTCTGCATCCCTTAGATTTGATTTTGGAGCATCTTCTTGGGAGAACACAATAAAGGATGGAAGCTTCTTCTCTTTCTGTTCTGTACTTTGCGGCTCTGCTTAGTTTGCTGTATACAGAATTCAGCTGGGTGGCATTCAGTTGCATGACTTGAGGGCACAGTGGATGCTGCTGCTACAATTAGCAACCTTGTAATAACATCTTACAAAACATCTTTACATCCATAAGCAAGTACAACTGGAGGCTGTTTCTAAGTAGTGTAATTCTCAGCTTCTGAAAATGGTGGCAGATGGAATCTCATACCTGAATGGGGGTAGGGGCGGGGTGAGGATGGGGTGGGGGTGGGGCTCAAAACACTGGCAACACTAAAGAGATTCTGAATGTGCAATGACCCAAAACTAACTAAAAACAGAATGTGTCATGAATTCAGAGCTCACTCATGCTGCATCACGTGACTTTACTACAGCTTGGCTTTCAACACAGCTGCACACTGCATACAACCAATAAATGCCACCGAAACTAGCTCAGACTTGAGGCTACTTTATATTATGACTGATCGTGTTTTTACTGTATGTATGTTGTCTCTTATGCAATAGGCTCATTAAGGAAAACAAAGATGTTTTCCCTACTGTCATTCCTCAGCAGATAAGCATCAGATTAATGTTAATATTCTATTGGAAAGTTTGATTTATAAAATTGCTATTTGCACTCCTGACTTCAGTTCCTTTTACACGGAACAAACAAACAAAACAACAAAACACTAGCTGAGCATGGTTGCCTGCCTTTCATCCTAGCACTAGAGAGGAAGAGGCAGGTAGATCTCTGGGAGTTGCAGGCCAGCCTGGATTACATAGTAAGTTTCAGGCAAGCAGGACATACACTGAGACCCTGTCTCAAAAAATAAAAAATAAAAATCGCTGAACAGATCATGATTTGGGGTCAGATTAGAATTTCCAACAATTTCTAGTAAGGCCATGAACATACGTGTGTAACTCTTGTGCCATACATCGATGTGGGTTGGTGTTCCCATTTCAGACAGCTATAAAATCATAATGTCGGTCAACTCTGAAAACTGTGAAAGACCCTCTATGTTCGCACTATCAGCTATTTAGCCAAGACTTAATTCTTTATGTAAAAAAACAAACAAACAAGCACACCAATTTGTTAAACTGTACATGGTACCATCCATAGGCTGGTAGTCCTGGGTTCTATAAGAAAGAAAGCTGAGCAAGGCCAGGGAAGCAGCATCCCTCCACGACCTCTGCATCAGTTCTGCCTCCAGGTTCCTGCCCTGTGTGAATTCCCGTCCTGACTTCCTTTGGTGATGAACAGCAATGTGGAAGTACAAGCTGAATAAACCCTTTCCTCCCCAACTCTCTTCTTGGCCATGATTGGGCCACGATGGACAGGAACACAAACCCTAAGACATATGCTCCATGATGACATATTAGGATGGCTGTTGTTATTACTACATCACTTGCTGTCTTTGAGCTCCGATATATGAAAAAATTCTACTTTATGGTAGTTACAATTTGCTTCCCCACAATATGACTGAAGTTAAACATTTTTGTAGTTTAAGGGTATTTTTTTTTTATTTTCTTGTATTCTCCATCTGCTTCATTGGTGTGTTGGGGGATGGGGAGAGTATTGCTATCTGCTCAGCGTTAGAACTAAAAGCTTCAAAGGACTATAAGAAATACTGTCACCTGGCTGCCCTTGGATGTGTCCCTTGAGCTAAGAGGACGAGATGTAGTATTTGAAGGCGTTCTAGGCCATGCCAAGTGGCCAGTGGGGAGACAGGCTCAGAAGTGGTGGGTGGAAGAGAACAAACTCTCCAGAAGGCTGCTTACCAGGTCCCCACAGCTGCTGGCACTGCTCCTGATAAGTGAGGCACATGCCATTGTAGCAGTAGGCCTGGCCACCCTCACAGGGGGTGCCATCCATCTGGTAATAGTTGGTGGGGCAGTGGGGAGACTTGCCCGTGCAGAACTCGGGGAGGTCACACTGCCGAACAGCCTTACGACACTCGGTTCCAGGAGCCACCAGCTAGGTTGAGGAACGAGAAGAGAAAAGTAGTCATTTCTTCCCTGTCCCCAACCCTTTCAGCCAAGAGCTCAAGAGCATCTTATCTTTGGAAAACAGTTTTTGATTACCTTGATATCACAAGGTATCTGCATAGACAAACTCAACTCAATTCCTTTTCACAGCAGTTGAGAAATAATGTTTATGTAACAATCTATAGTTCTCTCTGTGCCATTATAACCACATTTCACTCAAGTGTTCTTAGGACTTTATTTGATTTGCATGATAGTCTTATATAATTAAAGAAGTGAGACACAATATATTCAAAGTCACGTGGTATGTGTCAGACCAGTTTCCTGATAAGGGTACATACGTATACGCATATCTGCATATACCCACACAGAAAAAATTGGCATTCGTGTAAATTTTCAATTTACAACATAACTCTTTTGTTCATGTAAGCTTTTAATTTACAACAGTCTTGTTTTGTTCTTGAAATTAACCTCAAACTCATCATTTAGCACAGACTGGCCTTGAACACACGGCAATCCTCCTGGCTAAGCCTCTGGAGTACCAGAACTGTCGACATGTCTTGCTACATCCGGCTTATGATTCCAAACAGCATGCCCTCACTGTGATGCAAAGCATGGGGCTGAGTGGTATCCAAATCCTTATCTCATCTTCCCCTCCAAATGTCCATGAAATTGATATAGCTACTTTATATCAGCGTTTCTAATACTCATGAGGGTCTACAGACAGAGACTCAGGCAGTTACAAAATTCCCCAAATTCACAAGGTCAGGGCTTGAAGTCAAGGAATCCTTTGTGAGGCTCAATCTGAAATCCTGGAGTTTAGTGAAAGGTCAGTCACTCCTCAGTCACTCCATGCTTACTCTTCAGCCTTGGTCTGAGACTTGAAGGACTCAACCCAGCACAGCCTCCCTGGGGGCTTTCATGTCAAAACAGAAAGTGTCCAAGTTCTCCTGAGCCAGGCAAGGACACCTATGACTCAGAGGTAGGCCTTCCCCTGATTCCAGGTGACCATGCCACTCGCCTGCTCTTCTGGGGAAACAAACCCAGCAGGCCCCTCTGCTGGCCATTTTTAGGCTGAAAGGTTCACTGAGGGAATGAATGAACAAAAGCCAACCATGGCAAGGATGAGCAGGGCCAGTGGCAGATTCAGAAGCCTCGGGACATCTGTGCGCTTAACCAGCACTAGAGAACTGACCTTTGGTTCTTGTTTACCCATAATTCCAGATTACAGTCCTCTCTCTGGCTGCTAAGAGGAAGCATGCTCAGTGCCATACTTGAACCACACACGAACACAGTGTGTGCTCGCCAAGCTGAAGGTGGGACAGGCCACAGCTACATTCTCCAACTTCTCTGGTACTCAGGTTTTTCAGATTAATAACTCAAAAGTTCAAATATCCTAACAGTGTCTGTGCCTAACAAATCGGTATGAATACAATAGATGTGTATAATTATAAAAAATATGTATTACATAACCTCTAACAAGGCCCAGGATAAGCTTTATAACCAAAAATATTAAAATATTACATATTATGATGAAATAAAACTATTTTTGGGACTTCCTGAATTGTCAGATTTAGATTAAAAAGTTCTTGAATTCAGTACTATGTGACTATTAATGGTAATAAATTATTTCCCACATTGATATTAAGAATGCATGCTTCAGAGTCAGGGAGAACTGGGTTTGGGACCTGATGGAGTCTAGAATACATCACCCATCTCCTAATGACCCAGTTTCCTCACCTGAAAATGAAGGCAGTAATATGTACCCCATGGGGTAAACACTGAGTCAGTTAACATAAAATTCTCATCCTGGTGCCAGACATCTACCAAGATGGCCATTTATGTTCATCAAAAACATGATTTTCTCTTTTAATGTGTTCAAGTAAAAATGAGCCTCACTGGGCCTGGTGGCTTGTGATCTCTCCTGGGAGATGATGTCAGGACTTGCCTGGACTCCAGAGTAAGTTCAAAGCCACCCTGAACAATTTAGTGAGATCTTGTCTCAAAATAATATATATATATATCTGTGTGTATATATATATACACATAAAATCAAAATAAAGATATATATGCATATATTTACATATGCACAGATATATATATATGTATATAGCCCCATATAAGATATATATTTAAATAAAAAGATATATATATACACAGATATATGTATGTATATCTTTTTATTTTAAATGTACATACATATGTATATCTTTTTATTTATATATTTGCTTGTATATTTATATATTATTAACATATATACATACACACACACAGTGTGTAATTTGAACACAGTGAGGCCCAGGATGGAAAATCAGTAGGCTTAGTTAAAGGGACAGTCTCAGTTCCAAATATCTAACACACACCCATCCTTTCTCCCTTCTTTTCCTCCCAGTGATGGGGTTAAATCCAAAGCCTTGAGCATGAAAGCACAGATTCTTACTTACCACAGTAGCCAGTGGTAAGAACCACCCTCCCCCTATGTCTAAAATTACTGATACAGGCCGAAACCTAGCTGTCATCCACTAGGCTGTCACCTCAAACCTTGAGGCAGAGGAAAGAGACACTTACCTTACATTGGTGACAGCAGGACCCATGGGCACACTCAGCCCCTTCCTTCAGAGTGCAGTTGGAGGCATTGCAGCAAGGGTTCTTACATTCCTACAAAGGCAGCAGCAGGGCAAGAGTCAGAGCCCAGCAGGGGGCGCCCTTGCCCCCTCCATTCCCCAGCTTGCCGGCCATGCTCTGCTTTCTGCTCCCTAGAACGCTTCATGAGAGCATCACCTGGCAGCTCTTCACTAAGGTAATGAGTATTTGCCAGAGAAAAGACACAGGTGTTTCATCCTTGGAGATACCACAACTTAGATGGGACTAGGTGGTGATTCCAAGTAGGTACTGTCCCATAATTATGTGGTCATACTGAGTTTGCAAAATCCTACCATCCACACCGGTCTCAAAAGAACTCCCCCTAGGCTGAAGGGCGAGGACTGAGCCTTGCTTTTAGTTCATGGTTCTTGGTCTTTCACTAGTCCTTTTATTCTGGATGTTACAGGGTTACAGTTTTAAAAGGAGGTGGGAAGATGGCTCAATGGCTTTGTTCCCAAACCTGACAACCTCAGTTTGATCCCTGGCTTCCATGTGGTGAAAGGAGAGAGAGAAACACATGCATGCACGCACGCACGCACACAAACACACATTAAATAAGTACTAAAAGCAAAACAAAAGAACATCTTCACATAGCACACGGATACCTCAGTCTCATACCCACGCATGGTTTACAGCTCACCAGCTGTCAAGCATGGGGTAACACACTTTCTCATCCTTCAAAAAATAGACACGAAACAATATAGTTCTGCTTTTTTTCTTCTTCTTCCTCAGAAAAACATCCTTCTGACAAAAATGACAGAGCTAGGGTGTGTGCTTTCCACACTAATTCTGAAGCTCTGAAGGAAGAAAGACCTGTCCACCGAGAGTTCTGCTTCTCCTTCCTCAGCAGCTTGTCCCTGACCTGACAGCATTTCCAACACTCCCTTCAAATCTTCTCTTCTCCGGGCTAAACAGCACGAGCTTGTTGTGTTAAAGGCCCTTCACCAGGCTCATGGTCATGAGCTCACCCAGCTGTGTGGCCTCCAGAAATAAATTCAGTGCAGCTGGAGGGCCAAAGACGCCATCTGGGGCTCCTCTGGGGAGGAGGAGAGCCCTGGGATCATGGTCTGTGGCTAGAGCAGTTGCTCAAAGGGGCTCCACCCTGATCCTGGATATGACTGTGCTGTCCACAGCTGCAGAGGCCATAGAAACTGTCCACCTGGCAGACTCGCTGTTTGCATCTTACACACAGAGGGCCTTTGGTAGTCATGGGTAAGAAATGCTGGCAACTAGGAGATCATCTGTCATGTCACTTTGTCCTTTCAATGTGACATCCCTCCCTCTAGCGTGGTCCTGACACTTACCTCTTCTTCTCCACAGTCACACTCTTCACCGTCTTCTAGGTACCCATTGCCACACCTCCGGCCTCCATACAGCGTCCTAGTATCTGGCATGTTGGAGAGACACATCCCACCTCCTGACTGCAGATACCTGTCCAGCTCCCGCCTGTTGCACCAACTAAACACTTTGGGGAAAGGGTGCCTGGCAGAGAAGAAGGAGGCGTTAGCCAAGTTGAAGCACACCAAACAGCTTGCTGTCCTGCCTGCCACTCAAGAGGCTAAGTTCACTTGAATGAGAACCCTGCATACGCCCTCTGCCTCACCAGGACACTCATCAGTACATGAACTTAGAACTCTTCCATCCTGAACCAGGAGATGACGAACAGGGCACACCATTTGTTACACTTTTTCTTATTAAAAATGAAAAAGGCAGTTGAGAAACAGTAATTTCTGTCTTTTCCATAAGGGAGCTGAGGTAGGTAAAGGGTAAAGTACATTAGGACAGGTTCCCATACTGAGAGCTGTGCGGAACACCAGATGGGTATTTATTTTCTCATGACAAAAAACAGAACCAGAAAGCCCAAGACCACAGGCTTAACTCACTCCTGGGCTAAAGGACTGATCTTTGTTTTCCTAACCAACTCCACCACCCAACACACAGATGTGTGGGCTTTATCACAGTAGTATGTACGAAAGCTCCACAGTCACCTGCTACTATGGAAACAAAGCGTAGCAGGTCCCTTTTTTGCAGCTGCCATCCCTGGTTTTGGTTACCTCTAGTCAACAGTGATCTGAAAATATTGAGTTGAGACATTCAAAAATGGACAAATCCTAAGTGTGAAGTAACTTTTGTTATCATCACTATTTCAATTGTTCTAGTTTATTATGAGTTGGTGTTTTTAACCTCTTACTGTGCCTACCTTATACATTAAATTCATCACAGGTGTATGTGGGAAAACCACACAGAAGCACAGCACAAGATGTAAATACGGGACAGCTGCTATATCACAACATAGGTCTGTAAAGAGACCCTGGTAAGGCCCTGCCCTTTAGTCTCTAAAAACAATTAAAGGTTAAACATTGAGGGTTTCCTTCAGTACTACAGTAGGCCCCCAAAGAATTTCCTACTAACCACTCAGCTACAACAGTGTATGGATAACTTAAAAACAACTAGCGTAGTAATAAATTTAGCTGTCACCCATTTGTCTACACATACTCTATTGGGATTGACAGAAAAAGGGGTGGGCTTAACCAGGATCTCAAACTCAAGAGGTATGCCTGTGAAGTTGAATTCCGCATGTCATTGCCATCCTTGGGTGTCATGGTAGTCAGGAAGTGGTGAGCAAACACTAGCGATACGAACAAGAAAGCTGCATTGAACCACCATTCTCTAGGAAGCACAGCAAACCCTAGTGGTTTGTCATGAAGAGATGTATGTAATAAGGATTCTACCATGTTGCCCCAGAGACTTCAGTAGCTGACGTAGAAAGATTGCTTAAATTCACAAGTTCAAGATTAGACTGAGCAAGACTGTCCCATGCAATCTCAAAAACAAAACAAAACAACCCAACAAAATGTGTTGTAGCCAATTTTATAGCTTAAAACTACAAACTATTCATCAATCCAGCCAGGGTTCTAGATCATCTGCTGGGGGAGCTTAGTGTTCCACAACATTATTTAAGCTGACTTCATCAACAGTTTGAAAGTTTTACTGGAGTCTCCTAGGAGGACTGCTTGGGTCAGGCTGACCCTGCCTCTCTCACCCCACTCTTCTCCCCACCTGCACTCTTCTGGTTGACTCACCCAGTGGCGGCGGCCATGATGCACCCGCCATCGGCTGCGCTGGCAGAACAGCAGTGTGCAGAATCATGGCTCATGCCAAAGTTGTGGCCAATCTCATGGGCCACGGTGGAGGCTACACCGATGGCATTCTCAGAGTGGTCCTGTCCAGAGAAGAATTTCAAATCCAAGGTCAGGGGTTTCTTCCCTCTTTTCATTTTTTCTTTTCCAAGATAAGGTTTTTCTGTGTAGTGCTGACTGTCCTGGAAATCCCTCTGTAGATCAGGCTGACCTCAAACTCAGAGATCCACCTACCTCTGTTTCCTGAGTGTTGGGATTACAGGCGTGTACCACCACCACCTGGCCTGCATGAGTTTTTCTTATCTGAGCCTGACAGCTCTCCATGGATTTTCCCCTAACACCGAGCATATTGGTTCTTCATAACTTGTTCTTAACAAGTCTGAAGCCACTGTCTTCACTAGAAAAGCAAATGCTCAAAAGACTGTTACCTGTGTTCTTAAAAGATGCAGCCCATGAGTGACCTGCTGGTGTCTCTTTTGAACATCATTTTGAGTTGAGCAGGAGATACACTTGGCTCGATGTTTTCTGAGAGCACCCTGGCAGAAAGGGCCACCCCAGACAAAACTGGTACAGTGTGTGATCTTAATCATCAAAACAAATAGAGCTGTTGCAGTGATATAAACCTACAGTCCCAGCCAGCTGAGAGGCTGAAGCAGGAGGGTCAATTGAGCCCAGATGTTTTAGACTACTCTGGGCAATGTAGTGAGACCCATCCCCAAAAATCAAACAATAGAACAAAAGCAGCAACAAGGATATTTATACCAGGCATGGTTATGCATGCCTTTAATCCTAGCACTCAGGAGGCAGAGACAGGAGGATCTCTGTTACAGGCTAGCCTGGTCTATATGGTGAGTTCTGAGATAGTGTTTTATAGTGAGACCCTGTCTCAAAAAAACAACAAAAAAATGTTTACTAAATATATATATGTATGTTCCTTTTATTATCTCATTTAATGTTCATTCTTACCCTAAGATCAGAAGCTACGAAGCTACCTTTACTTTACAACTAAAGACACAAATTAACTCTAAAGTCACATGGTTGCTCTTTGAAACCAATTTGATTCTAGAATCTGGGGTTTAACATTCATGCTACCTTGTCAACTATAATACACACAATGGGTAGAGGGATAAAATAACCAATGAGCAGAGAAGAGGCTTCCTTTATATCCACTCCATGTTAGAAGTGACAAGCCAAAATCCAGGGGCTGGGGATGTAGCTCAACTGGTAGCGTACTGGAGTAGCTTGCATGAAGCCTTGGGTTTGATCCCAGCACATCGAACTGGATATGCTAGCAAACACTTGTCATCCCAGCACTCAAGAGATGGAATCAGGAAGAACAGAACCTCAAAGTCATCTTCAGCTAGGTAGCAAAGCTGAGGCCAGCCTGGTCTACAGGAGTTCCAGGCCAGCAACAGCTACATAGCCAAGTAAACAAAACAAAAAAAAAAACTATTCTTGCCAAGTCAGAATTTCAAAAGACAGCAATTTCCTAACTGTGACTCTTGAGACAGCCTCTCGTTTCACAATACCTAAAGACTTCAGACTCGGACTAGAAACACTTCCATCTCTGTTGCTCTCCTGCCCCCAGCTCCCACTCTGCCTCCTCCAGCCCCTGTTGTGGAATAATACATGACAGATCTGAAGGTCTATTTTTACAATTGCTTACGAACGACCACAAACTACGATGAATGAAATTTTACCCCTGGCTACTATCCTTTGGACCTAAGAACTTCATCTGAAACATTTGCTCATTTTAATGCTTTTTTAATTCTGCAACTATAAATATCAAATCGGTTTTTCAAAGCTGGCCTCCTCCTCTCTTGGGAGCCATTGCCCCCTTATGCAACACCATTGTCTTATCTGAGACCCACCATGCTAACTCCACCGGACTGGTACACGGAGCACATGGCCATGAGGGGGGCCAGGCCAATGGTGGTGCCTTGGAAGGACCTGCCCCTGCAGGAAGAAGAAAGACATGCAATTCAGGTGGGGGTTGAGAGAACTGATCCCCTAGGACAGGAGTGAATGGCTACCATGCTGTGCACTGACCCCCTAACATGCTCAGATTATTCCCAAGGGGACAAGCCTGGTAACCCAGATAACTGGACAACTTTCAGGATACCACACCTCTCACCTCCTCTCATTTCCTCCCTCAGTAGCAGAGAAGAAAGATCACTTTCCCCCTCAGAATGAGCCCAAAGTCTCCAAAAGGAAGAAGGCAGGGCTTGAAAAGCTGTGCCCCATTCCTGATTCATAGAAAATGGCCAGAGGCAGGGCTCACAGGGAAGGGTGTGGCCCAGGCTGTGATGCCCAAGTGAATCATATCCATTTCCGCCAGTGGCCAGGGGCTCAGGCCTTACCATCCATGGCATGTGTCTTGGGGGCAAAAGTGGTGGTGCTGGATAGCAGCCGTGGGGCTGACACTGTGATCCGTACGTCACACAAGGACCAAGAAAGCAGCTGAGTCCCTTTCAGAGCCTCACAAACTGCAGCTGGGTGCAGAGCTAAGCTGTTTCCACCAGTGTTCCGCAATGATGACCCTAATGTGTCAACAGCCAGTTTCCCCCAGTTTAATCTATCCCTTCTCAGTCGCACCCACCCAGAGTAGGCGAGGAGGAATAAATGGATGTTTAATAAATGTTTGCTTAATAAACTCAATATATCCCAATCTGTGTGTATGAAGCCCTAACTTGGCATTTCAGAGACTTGCATTTAGCTCTGGGGAAGCTTTACTGTAAACAGATTCAAGGTGTTCATTCCAAAAGTTCAGGCCAAATGTTTCAGCAAACGAAGACTTTCTCAATGAGTGGATAGTCTTCAAGTGACCATTAAGAATTCAGGTTTTAGGGACAGGTAAATGTTGGAAATGCCAGTTATTATGAAAGGGTAAATCAAGGTACCAAGGATGAAATAATTGCTGATTCTTCTATATTAAAAAAAATTAAAAAGTAAAGGAGTTTATTACGTATGTGCCTTTGTTGAACCACCTCAAACCACCCCGGAAGACAACACTAACACATACGATTCACCCTTAAGGGGCTGTCACTTAGCACTCAGACCCCATCAGTATCTCTTTCTTTCTGAGGCTGCTGGAAAGTTAACAGAGCACTTGGCCAAATGTTTCAGTACTTCCTCTCACCAGGCATGAAGGGCCTATAGTCTACCATTTTGACCTTCCCAGGCACTCAGGCCCGAGATCCCAGAGAACTGTGTGAAGGACCTGTGGACCATCTCCTGCATCCTGCAGTGGGAGGTCAGCTGACGTGCTCAAGATCTGTTTCAGGCTATCAGCTGTGATCAGGAGTCATCACTCACTCTTCTAATATACACTCCCAAGTGCTTCAGCTGCTCAGCTGATTAGGGGGTGAGACTAATTTCCTCACATGGACAGAAAACATGTCAGAGGGCTATTATCATTCTTAAGCTTTTTAACATTCTTTCAAGGTGTGCTGAGTCTGTAAATGCCTGGTTATCTGGCCCAGGGAACAGGGGGAGGTCTTGCACAATCAACATTTGCCCCTGTGAAAGAAAGGGTGAACTTAGCACCCCTAACGGCAGGCAGAGGTTCTGCAGCCAAAGCTGATGCAACAGGACCAGAAAAGGGCTGCTTACGTGATTAGCTGAGCATTGTCATGGCTTTTCTGGGCAAGTAGCTTGCGTCTCCAACTAAGAAAGGACCACAGAGTGGAGTACGGATTCTCTGAAACTTCACACTTATCCCCATGTGTCCACACCTCCAAGCCGACAAGAGCAATCCGGATGTTCAGAGAGCGGTAAAACTGAAAAGACACAGAAAGACCCATTTCTCTCACCATCCAGCCTAGGAGCTCAGAGCACAGACACTGGGACTGCTCTCTGGCCACTAGCACCAGAAAGCGGGAAATACGATCTTCGGAGAGATGCATTCTGGTGGTCAAACTGGAGTGTCTTGGCTTAGGAAACAGAGGTTAAAAAAAAAGGAGAGGGAACAGCACCCCAACTACCCAGGGGTTCTTTGATGGACCTGAACTTGATGCTACCGTGTCAGCAACTCTGTGTTACATGTACATGTGTCCTGTGCATGCATATACTACATGTACATGTATCCTGTGTGTGCACAGATACACAGGAAGCCCAAAGGTCCATGTTGCCTTCCTCCATTTATTCTCCCATGTTATTTTTTCCAGACAGTGTCTCTCACTAAACTAGGAGCTCACTGATTCAACCTGACTGGCTGGCTTACGAGGTCCAAGGATGGACCTGTCTCTGTCCCTTGCCTCTCCCCACCAGCCACATGGTTACAGACACATGCCACCATGCCTGGTTTTTAGATGGGTGCTGAAAATTCAGGTCCTTAGGTACCCAGCAGATACTTTACACACTGGGTCATCTCCCCAGCCCACTGGTGACTTAAAAAAAAAAAAAACACAACCCTCATATACATAGAAGCCACAAAAGGATAGATCACTACAATCTAAAAGTGGTGGGTTCCTTCCCAGCTAAAAATAATAACTAGGGCCCACTGTTCATCAAGTACTTGCCAGGAACAAGGAAGGCACTGAGGCTTAGAAAGGTTGAGATATTTGCCCAAAATCTCAGCAGAAAGACTCTGGAGCCAGGATAAACCAGATTATACCCCCAGGGCCCTGTGACCATCTGCTGCTAAAGAGCTGGGATCATATAATACATATATAATAATAAACTATACACAGTGCTGGGATATAATATGTATAAAATAATAAACTATATGCATACATACACACACACACACACACACACACACACACACACACACACATGCATACACACATTCAGATCCTTCACTTGCCCCCAGGAAACTGCAGTCTAGATGGGCTGGTTCTTCTGCCTTTGCCACATCTATCATTACAGAAAAACCCAAAGCATCTGAATTTGCCTCACTCAGGAGCTTTTTAAGGGAAGTCAACTTGACTGTTAAAGTTCAGAGAAAACACTGTGGACTGGGCCCCTGACTCAGCAAATATGTAAAGTCCTTCCAGTTTTAGCTCTAAAATGTGCAGTCCAAGTAGCTGGCTCAGCAAATTTCAGAGGACCGTGTGTGCCTCACCCTACTGGGATTGATAACTTCGTGTGCTGGGAGGGAAGTTAGAGGCTTTGAAGAATGACCATCATCCACAGGGTTCAGGATTTCCACCAACACCCGGGGTGTGTGGCTTCCTTCTTTTCCCTCCACATCTTGGCTTTTTCTGTTGTTGGGATTGTTTGTTTATTTGTTTGATGTTTACTGACATACCACTTCCATTTCTCATCAGTACCTAGAGGTAGGCTCTAATCACCCAGTGCAGGAGGAAGATTCCTAGAGCCAGCCAGCCAGCCAAACCCTCCACCTCCCCTGCGTCAGTCTGGAGACAATGGTTTCTACACAGGTGGCAGTAGAATCAGCTTCCTGTATCCCCAGGGAAAACACATTTTTCCAGATGTTGAGTGTTTGGTTACAGGATCGATGAGATGCTATTGCTGGTGAGTTAGGAGCTGGACACAGGACTCTACTGTGTCCCTAGACTCCTTCACTCCAGGAAAGGCCAGTGTTTGACTTTCACCTGCTACATACCAGTGGCCTGTTTCCACAGCTGTTGAGGATGGAGAAAAAAAAAATACATGGCTGTGAACTTTTCACTTAGTAACTTCACAGCAACCAACTCTGCCTTTTAAGCCCTGAAGCAAGTTAGTTAGTTTGTTTGTTTGTTTACTTATGGTTTTTAGAGATAGGATTTTTCTGTGTAACCCTGGCTGTTCTGGAACTCACTTTGTAGATGAGGCTGGCCTCAAACTCAGAGACCTGCCTCTGCCTCCCCAGTGCTGGGATTAAAGGTATGTATCTCCATTGTCCAGCTTGGAATTTTCTAATTTCTATTTGTTATCAGCTGAACCATTTCTCCAGCCCAAGATCTGGGATCCATGAACCTCTAGCCAGCCAAGAAAGCCTTCAGAGTTCTACAGTATCCTGAAATGGTTATCAGAGTCTCAAAGAGACATGAGACCCCAGGGCTGGAACTGTCAGCCAGTGGCAAGCATAAAACCTTAGGTCTACCCACCAATACTGTCCCTTAAAAGGAGGCATGTGACCAAAGCATGTCAAAGCTTACTTTTCACAAGTTATCTTCTCTGCATTTTGTGCTGGAACTTGCTTTCACATAGAATACTTCCAGGCCTGAGAACATCCCATTTGGTGCAGTTCAAACTTCAGTGAATTTCCTAAGTGCATGTTTTAAACAACCCCAACTAAGGAATTGTAGCTATTTGTAGTCTTCCTAGAAGGGGAGAACCCTCAAACAGTTTAACACATCAGCTCTAGATAGACAGCACGTTGATTTTCTAAAGGTTCTGTGCACACCTTCTGATCCTGGCCCACTTTAACCCCTCCTAAGACAGAATCACTGGGCTTTCACCTGGAGGGAGCACATCCTCAGCACTTTCTTAAGTTGAGCTCTTCCTTGACCAGTGTTCCTCAAAAAAACACTTCATTTGTGAGAAAGGTCACAGGGTCAGAGCTGGGGGGCACTTCTGTCTCCAGCCATCTGCTTCCATGTGACATTTACATGGGCAGGGGCACAATATCTCATTTTTAAGATGGGATTCCATTGAAAAACTGTAAACATAACCGAAAGCCACTAATGTAAGCCAATGCTTGTACTTTATACATTCAAACAGAGCAAAGCAAAGCTCCCAAACACTCACACAAGCCAACACAAGGCAAAACCCAACCCAAGAAGCTGAGTTGCTTGCCTCTGGTTGATAACTCAGGGTCCCAAATCAGCAACAAGAGCTCAGGAGTATGTGACCTCCTGTCCTGCAGACCATCTGAGGTCCGCAACCTCCCCCAGAAAGTACACACCTGGTCTCACCTTATCAACGTAGTTGGCAATCTCCATGAGCTTGTGTTTGGTGGCATCCTGGTCATGCCGATTCTTCTGAAACTAAATGGGACAAACAGAAGCAGGTGAGACAGAGCCCTCCACAGCTCTCATCCAAGGGTCTTCCATGTGCCGTTATTTTTTGGCAGTGGTCCCCACGGCTCACGGAGGGAAGGCCCTGACTGAGATCCAGCTCGGCTACCTCCATCTCCCAGCTCAAGGTGGTAAAAAGAGCAGATGTGGTCATCTTCTTCTAGCCCCTTCAGGTAGTTCTTCTCCTGCCTTTGTATTACAATGCTTCTGGTTAGCTCACTGCTTGATCAGAGGAGGGACTGGTCTCTTTGCTTTGCTTGTCAACCCAATAGGAAGCCACTATCACACATCTTACAAGGCTTTCTCCTGCATGTGGTCAGTTATCACTGATCCAATGGTTGCTGAATTGCTCTATGGACAAGCCATTGTGCTCAGCACAAAAGAAGCACACAAACTTACGGTCTTGATCCCACCCTACAGGAGCGTCAGTTACAATGGAGGGAGAGCCAGAAATAACCATAACAACAAATCCTCTACTTAAGAAGGGCGCAATTTAAAAGAGCTAAGGAAATCACTGAGAACTTGCACAGACCAACTGCAGTGGGGGACCATGCAAATGTCACAGAGAGGGTGCTGCCAACAGGACCATGTGGCATCAGCAACAGGTTTTGCCTTCCACACGATTCCAAGTGGCAGTGCCTTCTATAGTGAGATTCTTAGACTTCATCACTGTGAAATCAGACAGTGCTAATCGAGAACAGGAGAGAAGATTGTGCTGCACTTGATTAGAATGTCTGCCTACAGACCCATGAGGAGGCCTCATATTTACCATTTCTGACTGAAAAGGACAGACCTCTTTCACCTTCAATAATGAAATAAGAAAACTATCAGGACAGAAAGATAAAAAAGATTTTAGAATTGTAACCTCCCCCGCCCCAAACGATGGACATGCCCTGTCTGCTGTTATTTTTATACAGAATCTGGATACCTAGTGAATTTGTTAGGTGGGTATTCTGTATGTTCAATTTCAAGCCGTCACAGGTTTCCTCCCTCCAGATCCTCCCAAACAAGACAGAATACCCAAACAAGATAAAGAATAAAAGGCCAAATAAAATGCCCTAGAATATTTGTTTGGCAAGGGCTGACTCCCAGCTCTGGTACACCATTTCCTTTCTATTGTATAGATTCTGGAAATTTTTTTGACTTCCTTGGAAACTACACTCACCAGAAAAAACAAACAAACAAACAAACAAACAAAAAAAACCGCCATTGCTATCCTTATCTCCTAGAGAGTTAAATTCTAGGACCCTGTTGCATAGACCTTTGCAAAGTGTTTAATCTAGAAGTTTCTATTATCAAGACCTCCTGACTTCTAAACTAGTCCCGTGGCAAGAGTATTTCCATTTACTTAGTAAATATTTATTACAGCATTGGGATGAGATTTCAGGCTTCCAAATATATTAATCCTATCCTCAAACAGTGAGGCCCAATAAGGCCACCATAGTTGAAACAATGTATCATGTTTTCCAGAAGATTCTGAAGCAGGAGTTAGTAAGCTTATTCTACAAAGCGCTACAGAGTAAACACTCTTAGGCTTGGTAGACCATGTGATCGTGGACCACAACTGTTCAGTTCTGCGTTGGTGGACAACTACACAGTTCTCCTTGGTGGCTTAGAAGCTTCCAGGATACCATAAATCAAAGGGTGTGGCCCTGCTCCAGAATAATACTCATAAGAACATGTGATAGGTTCACAAGGGCTGTAGTTTACAACCTCTGGTCTTAAGAAATGCGTGCTTCAATGTTACACTTTCTGAGGCAACCCTGGATGTATAACACTGTAGGCCAGCCTTTCCCAGATACCCCACATCCTGCTGGTACCATCAAAGTCCTATACAGCCCTATGTCTAAAGCCATTTTTCTCCTCCCCCCAACATAAATCCCACTCTTTGCTCCCATTACGTTCCATTTTACTTAATGAATGAGTAAACGTGCCCGGAACCACCAAAGCAGCCCTCTTATATGCCTCTGTGACGATACAGATACAGGATGGATACTGGATAGATATGCTGAGAACTATCCCAGAAGCTCCCATCTAGGCCCAGGCAGAGAGCCACCGCCTGCTCACTTACTGCCCACAGCTCTCTCTAGATGGCAATAGCACAGCCTCACTTCCCAGAGCTTGCTTTCCCACTCAAAGACCCCTCTGGCTGCTGTGAGTTCCCAGCTCTGAGATAGCTGCTGTGTCTCAGCACCAGGTGATAAATCACAAAGACTACATCCTTCCCTTGATTCATCTTCCTGCACTCTCAGATTGACTGCCAGGAATTCATTTCTGCCAGCAGATTCTGGGCTGCAAATCTTGCCTGGCCTACTCCAACCCAGACATGAATCATTCAAAGCCTACAGCTGAGAGATGTTCATGACCCTGAGGTCCGAGAGATCCCCTCACTTAGCAGGAGGTACGAGTCATGACACTGTAGCAAAAGGGGTGAAGATGCCTATGTGACTGGTGCTTCATAAGGGGTACCTCACCCGCCTGCATCAGTAAGATTCTCTGGGGGGGCGGGCCCACAGCCATGGAGGCACCTTTAAGGAGAGACTTTTCTTGCCTGGTTTGCTGTGAGTCTAGCTGCCAGGAGGCAGACCACTCCCCATCTCTTCCTTTTCTGTGCCTGCTGGAGACTCAGAGGTAGTGGCTTGTCAAACCCTGCACCAAGGACCCACCGGGCAAAGGAATAACTCTCCTCCCTTTAACTAGAGCAGTGGGTTTCTAGGAGACATTCTATTAGAGTCTCAGGACATTTTCTCTGATCAAAGGATCTTGTAGCTTAGGAAAAATGGCCAAAGACCTTGTATCAGACAACACTAGACACAAAGTTTAAATAGAGAACTATCTGGGAGGAAAGGTCTTGCTTTCTCCCAGGAATCTTCACAATACAGAGAGCCAAAGCTGCTGCTGTGGGGCGGGGCTGAATGGGATGCCTGGCTGGCTTTGTTACTGCTCCCCCATCTACACAATCTGTAGAGAAAAACAAAACAAAAACCCCAGAACCTACCCATTCCTGGCTGCTGGAAAAAAAATGCCAACATCAGTTTTAAAAAAGCTAAACTCTTCTAAAAGTAAACACTATGTTCCCTTCCTAGAAAGCCCTTCACCTCCACTCCTCTGCCCAGTGAACTCCTCCTGTCTTTAAAGGAGGCTCAAGGGCCTTCCTTCTTTTCCTGCCTCTAGCTCTCAAAATCAGCTCTCAAACCTGGGCTTGAACTCTCCCACCTGCTGGCACTGCCCCTGATTCGTGCCATGGGACTATGGGAAAGGCCCATAGTCTTCTGCGGAGAAAGAGGCCTTTGCGGAAGACACTCCGATGTCTTATGAAACCATGGATTGTGGGGCCCCACCCTGACGATCTGGAGTTTGCATTTTCCACAATTCCCAGGTGCCACATATGCTGCTGTTCCGGGGACATTTGGGAAGCACCAACATGGTTATAAAAATAGATACACATCTGAGAAGAGTGTATCTGATCAGATGCGGCAGGCACTTGCTGCCTTTTTAGAACAGAAGTCTACAGGATTCTCTAAAGGATTACAGACAGTCCTTAAAGCAAGTATCAGAACCGTAGGACCGTGAGATCCTGTCTGAGAAAACCCATGCTTCTGTGTTTTCTTTTTTCCTTACTGTTTAAAATGGCTAGAAGAGCCCTTGGTCAGATTTAAGGCCAAATTTATACAATAAACTAGAAAAAGATGGGTGTGTTCCTATTTTCCCAAAACACTCAGAAAGCTGAATGGATGCTTTTAAGAGAGAAGTATTTTTGTTTGGTTGGTTTTGTTTTGTTTGCTGAAATCCATCGCTGGCCCCTTACCTCTGCATAATCAGCCACCAGGTAAAGCTCCACGTACTTCATAGAGTGTAAATCTTCCCGTTTCATCTAGGCAAGAGACAGGAGCAGGTCAGTTCAGTAGAAATGACTGGCTCCAGAGCATCCCAAAAAGCAGCTGAGAAACCACACTGGTTAATAAGCTGTGACCTTTTTCCTTCTTTTACATTTAGGTGTTAGGGACAGTCTTGGATGTAGACCATGAACTCCATCTGCAGCTGGTGGGTTATTGCTCAAGGCCTTTCTGAGTCAGGGGATCTAATCCTTTAGTCTCAAAAAACAAAGAAGCCAAACTGGCTAACACAGGCAAAATCGAGGCCAACACCCCACAAGGGAACATGCCGACAGCTTAGTTCCCAAGTAACCTTGAGACCACAGACCTCCGTTCTCAGTGTGAACGAAACACATGTTGTACATCAGATGAGATGGCCATTCCAAGAGGGGAAGTGGACAGTTTTTTAACCTTATACAGTTTTTGAAATCAGTATCTTAGAAAATACAAACAGTGGTTCTCTTATGAAGGTATCTCACTCAACGATCCAGAGAGAGAAGGGGGGGGGTGTTCTCCCTCTTTCTTACCCATTCTCTCTCAATCTAGAAATACTCCTGGAACCAAACTAAGGGTGCACAGAGAGGACAAGCTCCAGTCTGCTGGCTCCACTGGGAACCTAAACACTCACTCTGCGAGGTTGCTTTTTGGTCTGATGTGTAAACTGAAAGGCCCAGTCCTTAGAGGTGGGCCCGGAGTGCTCAAACCCACAGTTCCCCGGGGGCAGCTTGAGATGTTCGGATCTGTAGATACGGTGTTGGCTGTCGCTGTCAGGGACGGGCTCGATGATGTAGCTGACGTTACTTCTCACTGTAACCAGTCCTCTGTGGACAAGAGAAATGGAATCTCTGGTCAATGCTTCTGGAAAAGTCCCTTGTGTAGATTCAGATGCTCTACGACGCTTCTTCACTTTATACTGGGCCATGAGGCCCTCTTTGAAGGCCTCAGATCCTCTATAGAGAAATACACAATGGGGCACAGAATCTCAGAGCACTTGGACCTCCCTAAGTTCAGGCTTTAGACTGAGACTCCTAAGGCCACCAAATCTAGCACAAGCCATGACAATCATAGACCCCAGAGACAATCGTAAAACTTTATAAACCCAGAAAAGGTAACATGTGACCAGAGAAAGCACACTGGCCTGCTGGCAAGATAACCAGCCTCTAGATTTAGCTCTGGCACTCAACAGTCACATGCTCCTCAAGAAACATCTCATGACCCTGAGCTTCAATTTCCTTATCCCTAAAATAAAAATGATAGTGTACTAACTCATGGGGCTCTTGAGTGATTAAATGAAAGACAAGTGTCCTTGTCCCTGGGAGCCAAGTGGTACTTAACAGCTAGCATTCCTACCAATCAACTGCCCCGTGCCAGCAGCTATCTGGTGAGGTGACACCCACGGCTAACATATAGAACAATCTGTCACTCAGGACTGAACTCAAAGATATGTGCTGAGTTATCTGGTTTCTTCACTCACTGAGATTTCTAGGTTCTAGATATCATTCAAACATATATAGTCTTGTTGCTGGTATCCATCAGGACTTAGGTCCAGACTCCCAGGGAAACAAAAGAAATCACAGACACTCCAAACCGTATATAAAATGGTGTGCTATTGATATGTAACCTACTCGTGTCTTCTCGTATATTCTATATCACCTCTAGGTTACTTATAATACCAAATAGAATGTAACTGCTGAGCCAGGAGTGGTGGCGCACGCCTTTAATCCCAACACTAAGGAAGTAGAGGCAGGCAGATCTCTGTGAGTTCGAGGCCAGCCTGGTCTACAGAGTGAATTCCAGGACAGCTAGGGCTACACAGAGAAACCCTGTCTTAAACAAACAAACAAACAAAGGTAAATGCTGGGCCTGGAGAGATGGCTCAGCAGTTAAGAGCACTTGCTTCTCTTTCAGAAAATCTGGGTTTGGTCCCAGCACCCATGTCAGACAGCTTACAAACTGCCTATAAGTCCAGATCCAGGGAATCTGATGTTCTCTCTTAACCTTTACTATAGGCACTACACACACGGTGCATAAACATACACTCAGGCACACACTCATTAAATAAATAAATAAATAAATAAATCTCAAAATGTAAAGATATGTTACATATACTATATTGTTTAGGGAATAAGAACAAGAAAAAATATATATGATCAAGAAAATTTTTTTCAGCCAGGCGGTGGTGGCACACGCCTTTAATCCCAGCACTTGGGAGGCAGAGGCAGGTGGATTTCTGAGTTCGAGGCCAGCCTGGTCTACAGAGTGAGTTCCAGGACAGCCAAGGCTATACAGAGAAACCCTGTCTCAAAAAAAAAATTTTTTTTTCAGAAATATTTGATTCATAGTTGGTTGACTCTATAGAGGTGGAACGCAGGAGGACAGAGAAACAACTGGATTCATGGTTGGCAGGAAGGCAGCCATTCTAGCTATGCTTCTGCAACCATGGTAGTTGCTCAGGATGGAGACAAGAGCAAGCCAAGCTGCCTGCCCTGGTGAAGAACAGTCTGAGCATGGGAGTAGCCACTGTGATCCATGACCTATCCTTGGCAGACACCCACGGATTAGACGAAGCTGCTTAGGGCGCTGTACTACTGAAACCTCTGTAGCTCTCTAGGCTCAGTGAGTTTACTCCCCACGGCTTCACAGCTATCAACAGAGGTAGGGAGATGCCCACGGGGCAGCTCCCTGTCACCTCATCCACTGAGATCTGATGTGCCAACCTAACGCTGTGATGTAGGAATGAAAAGACAGTAATGTCTGCCAACTGTGCGTCCCATGGTTAATTACCTTTCAGTAAACTGTGTCTGAGGATGGAAGGAGACCATATGCCTCCTCTGTCATCTTATCTCCTACTGGGAACCGTGCTACAGTCAGGCCAATCAGGTCGTGACTAGTCACACTTCTGAAGAGTGTTGCTGGCATCATCAAATATGGTCATGAGTAAATATAGTCTGTCCTTCTGACCCACTCTCCAAACTGCCACCTTCCATACAGAGAGATAAACAAGACAGCCAGGCAATAGGTTCCAGATTCTGGGAACAGTGAGCCCAGGACTGAATTCCCGAGAACCCTGGCAATAAGTCACCCAGGACCTTATCTCCAAACTGAAGGCATTCTCAGTTCATCGTCTGAGACCATAAGTGCTCCGGCTTCTCTCTTGGGCCACTCAACCTCCACCCACCACTGTCCTCTCAGGATGCCCACCCAGGTTTTGTCCTTTAATAAGAGCACATGACTCTCAGAACAGACATCACTCTGATGGGCAGTAGACCTTTCCTGACCCCATCCCTCGCTGACCTCATTCCAGTACCAGGAAAACTATCAACTTCCTGGCTGCATCCTGGCTGACACAGCAGCTGCCATCTGGCCTATGGTGAGACACCTAAGGTGTTCCCTTAACAGCTAGGGTGGAGGGCAAAGAGCAGGGATCACAGCCACCTCCCTACTCTGCACAGGAAAGAACGGAGGCCAGGGCAATGTGGGCATCCTGTTCCCAAGCTATCTTCTCATCCCAGCTGACCAGGGCCTCTCCCATCACCCCAGCTTCCCCTAATGGCTACAATATTGGCCATGCAATGAGACCGGCTGGTAATCCTGTGTGCACCAATACTACTCCCAAGCAAGTGGAAAGTTCTCCATAGGAATCAGTGAAAGCCTGAACACAGAGCCACAAGGTGTAGTTGGCTTGGTGTCATATGAATAAGCCCTGGGCCAAATAGGTCAGTGACCAATTGGAACTTGGCTGCAGGGCTGATAATAATCACCATAGTGGCTCTAACTTATGGAACTTTTCTACGGACCAGATACCAAGCTGATAAGGGTTTAATTTCTCATACCAACTTTTTTGATCCTTACAAATATTTTTCCCATGACCAGTCCAAATTCACACAAGTAGTAAAGAGTTAAAACAGGGTGGACCTCAGCATTCTGGTTCCACATCCTACAACCTTCACCTTGATCTTTTATTGTCTTTCATAATAGCCCTGGAGAATGGTTCAGAAAGACACCCCTATTCAGTGAGCACTCACTGCCCATGACTTCACAACTATCAACGGAGGTCCACCGGGCAGTTGTCTGTTAACTCATCTACTGTCATCAAGACTGTGCATATAGCTATAGTGATGGCAGCAGTAACTCTCAAGGCATACCAGCCAGGATGTGTTGATTGATGTTGGTTGTAGGTGCAACCAATAGAGAGAGAAGCTCACCAAGATGCTAAGGCCTCATTTTCCAAAGAAGTAGAGGGGTACAGCCTCCCCTGGAAGACTAACACCCAGCTAGCTCACTCCAGTTACTTTATTCAAACATTATACAAAATTAATTAGGGAAGGGAACTGAACTCTTGTATTTTTGGTTGTGAGCCTAGCCCCTAAAGGCTGAGCCATCTCTCCAGCCATAGTATGCCTTTGGTCCAGCAATTTGAAATCATTAAGAGTATAGATTGGTCCAATTAGCAGCCCCTTTTTAAATTTAGGTCTGCTCTAGTTTGACTTCTCTCATAGAGGATTTGCAATACCATCACAACCATAGAACTTATAGCCACCTTCATTTTTAATAATTTAAAGCAATAAAAACAATTTAAAACAATTATTATTATTTATTGAGACAGGGTAGTGTGTGTGCATGTGTGTGTGTATAGACCAGGCTGACCTGGATTTGCTCTGTAGGTTAGGCTGGCCTCAAACTCACAAGGAACCTATATCTATCCCTGCCTTAGTCTCCCAAGTATTGAGATCAAAGGCCTGGATTTATTTATTCATGATCTATATACCCTTGAAAAACATTAATATTAATTCCCATTTCTTTCTCTCTTTTCTGGAGATTAGTATCTTTGATACTTAAAACAGTTTAAAAACAATTACTATTAATTATTAAGACAGGGTTTCTCGGTATAGCCCAGGCCAACTTGGATTTGTTCTGTAGATTAGGCTGGCCTCAAACTCACAAGAAACCGATCTGTCCTTGCCTTTATCTCCCAAGCACTAAGATCAAAGGCCTAGATGTATTTATCTATGTACCCTTCAAAACATTTATAGCAATTCTCATTTCTTTCTCCCTTCTTTGGAGATTAATATCCTTGTGGATAAATATACTTATATCCCCTTTCTCTTTATGTAAATTTATTTAATATCCTTCTCTATATTCAACTGAATTTAAATTCCCTTTCATTTATTTTATAATGTGTTAGGTTGAACCGTAATCAGTTCTTCCACGGAAGCCCGTGTTTATAGAGACTGGATGCTCATAGCAGTGTGACACCTATTTTCAAGTTAGCTCTCACAAGCTGTCACTAGTTCTCCCATGGGAGCCCCTCATTCTAAGGAGACAGATTGGCTGCTCGTAGTAACTGAAATTCTACTCCATGGTAGCTCTCATGAGAATAGCTTTATTTTTTTGTTGGATAAAAACAAAACAACTCTGTCCTAACCCAACTCTGAGTCCCCACACTGACCAGCAGAACATAACCTTTTCTAGAGCAAAATGGTTTTTGACAATAGAAAAGCATTATCTTTTAATTTGAAATTATATTAGCTCTTTCGGTAGAGTATGAGACTCTTAATCTCAGGGTTGTGGGTTCAAGACCCACATTGGGCACCAATTTATTGTAGAAAATATTTCATCTCAATCAGGGGTTTTTGTTCCACCTTTGATCATTCAGTTCTTGGATAAAAGACACACAACTTTTATTATTATAATAAGCCTTAATCAGCACTAGAGCTGGACAGATATCTACCCTCTGTGCTATTTGAATCTATTTCCCTATCAATAATCCCATTTTATAATTTGCCATGTTCCATCTGGGCAGCTCTTACCTCCAATTGGC